CAGCTTATTTAGAAAATCTATTAAATACAATACACTAATTTTTTTTTAAAATACGTTGAAGCCCCACACAGCGACTAACATAACGAAAGTAATGTCTGGTTTATATAGTTGAGGTATTTTCTCCCACGTTGTATAACGTTGCTTGGTCTCAAGTAATGTCCTTATTTCGCTATCAAATTCAATTGGCCTACTATAGAAAATTACGCCAATTTTAACAAAAATTAATCCTGATATGAAATTTGTTATGATACAATCGAAAGCTAACACTTTGAACGAATCAGTACTAAACGCTTTTACTACCAGAAGACGATTTGTAAACAGTTCTTCCTGATAAGAAGCTGAAAAAGTACTCAATAACAGATAAGGACTGCCAGATGTAACACACACTTAGAGAAGGCTTGAGAGTACACCAGTTGAAACAGTGTAATCAAAACAACAAAGATTAGGATGCCTTTCCAAATAACTTGTGGAATATATTCATTCGACTATTTCAATTTTCAAAATTTAACTTCTGAAAAATTTAATTGATTTAATTATACATAAATAATTAAATTTAAAAATATTTTTTTACAATATTCTATTAATCTTCTGTAAATTAAATTCGATAAAAACATTCTTGAATATATTTTTAAATTCGGTAAATTTCTGACATTGCATAATATCAATGATATTTGAATAAAGGCTTGTCATATATATATATATATATATATATATATATATATATATATATATATATATACCCTTTATTTTATCAACATCGTTTTGTTTATAATATTGTAAATTATCGTCACTGGTTAGAAAATAGGCTGGCTTCACTTTGGTCAAAAGGATATATCCTGATCGAGCACAAATATTAGGGAACTGGTTTTATAATTGCCAAGAATCTTTTTGTTGGGCGTGTAACAGCGTTTCGAGGACGGTTTATTTGTTTAAAAGTCTTCTGTTTGCGACGAGACGCGCCATTAGATCCGCATCGTTATCGCCTCGTTCTGAGAATAGTCAAACACATCTCGACAATGTCGGCCAGTCATACTGATGCCAGCCATATGGGATGGCATTACATCAACATTTCTATACTCTTTCGAATATATCTAGTTCACTGGCTGTTTTATTTCCTGTTCATATTGTCTAGGACCTAGTTCATCGCCCCCACTTCTTTTTCTTGCACTGATTCGGTCACGTGATTAATTTATATAAGAAAGTTATGCTGTTTTGTCAACCATCTTTCTTTTCTTTTTTTTTCATCCTCCTCTACAATTCTTTCGGCCCTAACTATTTTTTAATAATACCGAGTTTTGTCGGTACGTACGCCAATTAATGCAGTCAATAAATGTCACAATTTCTCAAAGATAAATTAGTATATCTGCACATGTGTTTGCACATATGGTTAAAGCTTAATGGCTGATTCCTGTGAAGGAAATTAACTATCTGTCCCGAATTGCTCATAAAGGTGATATAATAACTCGAAGTGCCTTCAAATATTTCGCCGCTGTTGGGTTATTTTACTTAAAAGACTTATTTAAACATTTTCATAAAAGAAAAAAAAAATATTTATCAACATCAAGTAAAATTCCTTTTTTTTTAACTCTACAAGAATTCTCTTTTAAGAATGTCTGCGCAAATAATGGGTTTGAATCATAATCCTCCGTATCTTTGAATCCTGTTCCTTCATTGTCCTCCCTCCTTAATAATTTTTTCTTTCATTTCACTCTCATCGTCTTGCTTGGAGTAAAAGGATACAGTAATACCTCTGCTTAATTTGTTTCGAGTTAAGTCATTTTCGAAGATACGTCAGTTTTTCTTAAATAATATATGGAAAAATAAAACTCATCTTACGTCGTTTTACTCGACTTTACGTCGGCCGTTAAAAATATTAGAAACGTCAAAACACTAAAATATCAATAAACGCATACAAAATCATATTTAAATGAATTTATAAATAATATTATGTATGCTATCTATCTATCTATTCATATCTATATATATATATATATATATATATATATATATATATATATACAAGTGTTGATTGGTGTATACGGAATAAATTCCAATCACCAAGAATTACTATTCTTAAAAGAGTGCACAATACAGAGTAGACCGAATATAAATAATTATTTAAAAATTATAACATAAATATGTTATAAAATCGCTACAAAAATATCCATTTTATTTCAACACCTCTGGTGTCTTATCAAGTCATGATATTGAATGTAGATTGTAGAATGTTATACAATCTACATTCAACATCATCATTGATAAGACACTAGAGGTGTTGAAACAAATGGATATTTTTTCCTGTATAATTTTATAACATATTTATGTTATAATTTTAAATATATATATATATATATATATATATATATATATATATATATGATAAAATCATCAACAAGAGAAAAATTAGCATAATAACTTACGTTCAGCAGATGTTCATATTTAAAATTCCTGTCGATAGGCGGCACTAGTGTTTTCCGCTCCAACATATTTTTTTTTTTTTTTTAATCAGACTTGTTTACATCTATGCTCTGCCGTTGATGTTCTTTCCATTATATTTCAATTGTGATTTAGAATACATTTTTGTCCATGGCTCCGAAGAAAGGTACCACTAGAAGTGCAAATGCTATACGTAAGGTTATATCGCTAGAAGATAAGATGGAAATTGCTTATTTTATTCACAATACTGTACATACATATCATAAATACTGTAATAGGCAATGGAGAGTACGTATTAACGGTTTATAGTGTGATTATTCCGACTTAAGTCGTGTTTCGACCTCAGTTGTGGCCTCTGGTGCCACTTAACGACATAGGGTGAGGTATAACTGTATTTTAAAAAAATATATATTTTGGTGTTTACCATAGAGCAGTTGTAATGATAATGGTGAAATTTTAGCCGTTTGTTCGGCATTTATTGACCGAACTCTTCATTTTACATTCGTTTGAAGTTCATAAAACCTATTTTGTCAAAACAGTTTTTCAGCAAACGAGTTTTTCAGCAAATTATTTTCTTAAAACAATTTTTCAGCAAATTAGTTTTCAGCAAATTATTTCGCTAAAACTGTTTTTCAGCAAAATAATTTTTCAGCAAATTATTTGGTTCAAACAGTTTTTCAGCAAAATAGACATCTTAATTCCACTCTTCCTAGTAATGATGGGAGTTTCCTTCCAAGCATTTTGTTTTTGGTAGTGTGGAAATTTAACAATATAATTATCCTTATTTACTCATCTAAATACATATGTTGCCAATTTTTGTTGTTGCTGTTGTTAGAAGTGGTATGGTTTTGGTATTTGGTAAATTCATCGTTCGTGATCATGTAGCGCCAGGCTATCGGGTCTGACGAAGGATTATCTTTAAACCTAAAAAACGGACAAAAACTCTAATGTGACGAGTTCAGGCGCCACTAGAAGAATTGACTTAATACAATTTGCATACGCGATCTGCCGGGAAGATATCCTGGTATTCAATTGTAACAAAAAAATGCCTACATATCTGGAAGATGTTCGACAGGGTTTGGCATGCTAGCCTTCACTACAAGTGCAAGGATTCTGGTGTGTCAGAATTAATATTCTGCTTAATCCAATCATTCCTAACAGGATTTCTAGTTCATTTTACGTCAATGCGAGAGTCCCCAAGGTTCCACCAAGACTCTATCCTTGGACTTACATTGTTTGTTATTTTCATTAATAACCTCCCTAATCAGTTCCCAACTAGGAATTTCTATTGTTGTTACAACTATTTAATCCTTATCTTAGTAGCAAGTAGGCTCCACAAAGTAAAACTAACAACTTCTCTCGAAAAAAATTAATCAGTAGTTAACTGGGGCAAGAAATTGCTTGTAAATTTGAATTCATCCAAAACAAAACAGCTTTAATTTAATCACCATAGAGAACCGTTCTTGCCTGCATGGCTGATGCTAACCTCCAGGACAGCCATTCTCTGTGCCTTCTCGGGCTATCGTTTACCACTGACATAAATTGGGGTGATTATATTGAATCAATTGCTAGGTCCACTCCTAGGAAAGTTGGTTCACTATGCCGTCTCAAACAATCTTTCTCGATTGCACATCTATAATTCTACATTTTGTCAGTGCATTGAATATTGCAGTTATGTGTTTCTAGTGCTCCTACTATATATCAAGAGATTCTTGACAAAATTCGAACAAGGGTCTATAAAATCCTCATCTGGTATGTCGGAATCTGTCAAATTTCATCTGACATGATGTCGGCCTTCTGCTTCGGAAATTTTTTCAAAATTCTTCGACATGATTTCCTCCGGAATATTGCAGTCATTTGTTTTCTCCGACTAAATAAATTTATCATGAGGGGCAATTCATCTGGGATCTCGGCGGATCACTTTCAAAGGGCGGACAACATGAATTCGCCTTCGGAGGAGGGCTTTTCTATAAATATTTAAATGGCAATCTTCTAACAGGCTTTCAACTTGAATATTGCAATTCTCCGACAATATATTTAGAGATAAAGAGTCTATAATATAATCAATCCTCATCTGGGATCTCGGCATCGGAGTCACTTTCAAACCGACATGGATTTCAGCATCAGAGGGGCTGTCTTTTCTATAAATATTTAAATGGCAATTCTTCTAACGAGCTTTCCGCCTTGAATATTGCAGTCATATCTTGTCTAATTCTCTTACTATATATTTAGAGATAAAGAGTCTATAATATAATCAATCCTCATCTGGGATGTCGGCTTCAGTCACTTTCAAACCGACATGATTTAGCCTTCCTCTGTCTTTTCTACAAATATATTCATGGCAATTCTTCTGACGAGCTTTCCTCCTTGAATAGTGCAGTCATATCTTGTCTAATTCTCCTGCTATATATTTAGAGATAAAGAGTCTATAATATAATCAATCCTCATCTGGGATGTCGGCTTCAGTCACTTTCAAACCGACATGATTTAGCCTTCCTCTACAAATATATTCACATCATATTTTCTTCTGATGAATTCTCCTCTGCTGCCTCAACTGCATACATTTAAGCGCGGATAAATTCTCCTGCGCATCGGAGGAGGGCGGACAATGGATAAATTCGGCATCGGAGGAGGCGGACAACGGATAAATTCGGCATCGGAGGAGGGACAATTCGGATAAATTCATAGCATCGGAGGAACTGGCGGACAACGGATAAATTCGGCATCGGAGGAGGGCGGACAATGGATAAATTCGGCATCGGAGGAGGGCGGACAACGGATAAATTCGGCATCGGAGGAGGGCGGACAACATATAGGGCGGACAATGGACTAAATTCGGCATCGGAGGAGGGCGGACAACGGATAAATTCGGCATCGGAGGAGGGCGGACAACGGATAAATTCGGCATCGGAGGAGGGCGGACAACGATACCGGCATCGGAGGAGGGCGGGGCGGACAACGGATAAATTCGGCATCGGAGGAGGGCGGACAACGGATAAATTCGGCATCGGAGGAGGGCGGACAACGGATAAATTCGGCATCGGAGGAGGGCGGACAATGGATAAATTCGGCATCGGAGGAGGGCGGACAATGGATAAATTCGGCATCGGAGGGCGGACAACGGATAAATTCGGCATCGGAGGAGGGCGGACAACGGATAAATTCGGCATCGGAGGGCGGACAATGGATAAATTCGGCATCGGAGGAGGCGGACAATGGATAAATTCGATAAATTCGGCATCGGAGGAGGGCGGACAATGGATAAATTCGGCATCGGAGGGGCGGACAACGGATAAATTCGGCATGGAGGAAATTCGGCATCGGAGGAGGCGGACAACGGATAAATTCGGCATCGGAGGAGGGCGGACAATGGATAAATTCGGCATCGGAGGGCGGACAACGCGGCATCGGAGGAGGGCGGACAACGATAAATTCGGCATCGGCATCCGAGGAGGAGGGGCGGACAATGGATAAATTAAATTCGGCATCGGAGGAGGGCGGACAATGGATAAATTCGGCATCGGAGGAGGGCGGACAACGTATAAATTCGGCATCGGAGGAGGGCGGACAATGGATAAATTCGGCATCGGAGGAGGGCGGACAAAATTCGGCATCGGATATAAATTCGGCATCGGAGGAGGGCGGACAACGGATAAATTCGGCATCGGAGGAGGGCGGACAACGGATAAATTCGGCATCGGAGGAGGGCGGACAATGGATAAATTCGGCATCGGAGGAGGGCGGACAACGGATAAATTCGGCATCGGAGGAGGGGCGGACAACGGATAAATTCGGCGGACAACGTATAAATTCGGATCGGAGGGCGGGACAATGGATAAATTCGGCATCGGAGGAGGGCGGACAATGGATAAATTCGGCATCGGAGGAGGGCGGACAATGGATAAATTCGGCATCGGAGGAGGGCGGACAACATGGATAAATTCGGCATCGGAGAGGGCGGACAATGGATAAATCGGAGGAGAGATAAATTCGGCATCGGAGGAGGGCGGACAATGGATAAATTCGGCATCGGAGGAGGGCGGACAATGGATAAATTCGGCATCGGAGGAGGGCGGACAACGGATAAATTCGGCATCGGAGGAGGGCGGACAATGGATAAATTCGGCATCGGAAATTCGGCATAAATTCGGCAGGAGGAGGCGGACAACGGATAAATTCGGCATCGGAGGGCGGACAACGAGGCATCGGAGGAGGGCGGACAATGGATAAATTCGGCATCGGAGGAGATAAATTCGGCATCGGACGGACAATGGATAAATTCGGCATCGGAGGGCGGACAACGTATAAATTCGGCATCGGAGGAGGGCGGACAACGGATAAATTCGGCATCGGAGGAGGGCGGACAACGGGCATCGGATCGGAGGGCGGACAATATAAATTCGGCATCGGAGGAGGGCGGACAATGGATAAATTCGGCATCGGAGGAGGGGACAACGGACGGCATCGGAGGAGGGCGGACAATGGATAATTCGGCATCGGAGGAGGGCGGACAACGGATAAATTCGGCATCGGAGGAGGGCGGACAACGGATCGGAAAATTCGGCATCGGAGGAGGGCGGACAATGGATAAATTCGGCATCGGAGGAGGGCGGACAACGGATAAATTCGGCATCGGAGGAGGGCGGACAACGGATAAATTCGGCATCGGAGGAGGGGCGGACAATGGATAAATTCGGCATCAGAGGAGGGCGGACAACGGCATCGAAATTCGGCATCGGAGGAGGGCGGACAATGGATAAATTCGGCATCGGAGGAGGGCGGACAACGGATAAATTCGGCATCGGAGGAGGGCGGACAACGGATAAATTCGGCATCGGAGGAGGGCGGACAATGGATAAATTCGGCATCGGAGGAGGGCGGATAAATTCGGCATCGGAAGGATAAATTCGGCATCGGAGGAGGGCGGACAACGGATAAATTCGGCATCGGAGGAGGGCGGACAACGGATAAATTCGGCATCGGAGGAGGGCGGACAACGGCGCAAATTCGGACAACGGATAAATTCGGATAGGAATTCGGCATCGGAGGAGGGCGGACAACGTATAAATTCGGCATCGGAGGAGGGCGGACAATGGATAAATTCGGCATCGGAGGAGGGCGGACAATGGATAAATTCGGCATCGGAGGAGGGCGGACAATGGATAAATTCGGCATCGGAGGAGGGCGGACAACGTATAAATTCGGCATCGGAGGAGGGCGGACGGCAACGGAAATTCGCATCGGAGGAGGGCGGACAATGGATAAATTCGGCATCGGAGGAGGGCGGACAACGGATAAATTCGGCATCGGAGGAGGGACAATGGACAACGTATAAATTCGGCATCGGAGGAGGGCGGACAACGGATAAATTCGGCATCGGAGGAGGGCGGACAACGGATAAATTCGGCATCGGAGGAGGGCGGACAACATAAATTCGGCATCGGAGGAGGGCGGACAACGGATAAATTCGGCATCGGAGGAGGGCGGACAACGGATAAATTCGGCATCGGAGGAGGGCGGACAATGGATAAATTCAGCATCTTCGGCATCGGAGGGAGGGCGGACAATGGATAAATTCGGCATCGGAGGAGGGCGGACAACGGATAAATAAACGTATTCGGCATCGGAGGAGGGCGGACAACGGATAAATTCGGCATCGGAGGAGGGCGGACAACGTATAAACAACGTATTTCGGCATCGGAGGAGGGCGGACAACGGATAAATTCGGCATCGGCGGAGGGCGGACAACATCGGAGGAGGGCGGACAATGGATAAATTCGGCATCGGAGGAGGGCGGACAATGGATAAATTCGGCATCGGAGGAGGGCGGACAATGGATAAATTCGGCATCGGAGGAGGGCGATAAATTCGGCATCGGAGGAGGGCGGACAATGGATAAATTCGGCATCGGAGGAGGGCGGACAAACGGATAAATTCGGCATCGGAGGAGGGCGGACAACGGATAAATTCGGCATCGGAGGAGGCGGACAACGGATAAATTCGGCATCGGAGGAGGGCGGACAACGGATAAATTCGGCATCGGAGGAGGGCGGACAACGTATAAATTCGGCATCGGAGGAGGGCGGACAACGGATAAATTCGGCATCGGAGGAGGGCGGACAACGGATAAATTCGGCATCGGAGGAGGGATCGGAGGAGGAGGGCGGACAACGGATAAATTCGGCATCGGAGGAGGGCGGACAACGTATAAAATTCGGCATCGGAGGGGGCGGACCAACGGGCCGGAGGAGGGGACAACGGATAAATTCGGCATCGGAGGAGGGACAACGGATAAATTCGGCATCGGAGGAGGGCGGACAACGGATTTCGGCATCGGGAGGGCGGACAATGGATAAATTCGGCATCGGAGGAGGGCGGACAACGGATAAATTCGGCATCGGAGGAGGGCGGACAATGGATAATTCGGCATCGGAGGAGGCGGACAATGAATAAATTCGGCATCGGAGGGCGGACAACGGCAAATTCGGCATCGGAGGGGCGGACAACGGATAAATTCGGCATCGGAGGAGGGCGGACATTAATCGGACGGACATTCGGGATCAGGATAAATTCGGCATCGGAGGAGGGCGGACAATGGTATAAATTCGGCATCGGAGGAGGGCGGACAATGGATAAATTCGGCATCGGAGGAGGGCGGACAACGTATAAATTCGGCATCGGAGGAGGGCGGACAACGGATAAATTCGGATAAATTCATCGGAGGAGGGCGGACAACGTATAAATTCGGCATCGGAGGAGGGCGGATAAATTCGGCATCGGAGGGCGGACAATAAATTCGGCATCGGAGGAGGCGGACAACGGATAAATTCGGCATCGGAGGAGGGCGGACAACGGATAAATTCGGCATCGGAGGAGGGCGGACAACGGATAAATTCGGCATCGGAGGAGGGCGGACAACGGATAAATTCGGCATCGGAGGAGGGCGGACAATGGATAAATTCGGCATCGGAGGGCGGACAACGTATAAATTCGGCATCGGAGGAGGGCGGACAATGGATAAATTCGGCATCGGAGGAGGGCGGACAACGGATAAATTCGGCATCGGAGGGGGCGGACAACGGATAAATTCGGCATCGGAGGAGGCAACAACGTATAAATTCGGCATCGGAGGAGGGCGGACAACGGATAAATTCGGCATCGGAGGAGAGCGGACAACGGATAAATTCGGCATCGGAGGGCGGACAACGGATAAATTCGGCATCGGAGGAGGGCGGACACGGCATCGGAGGGCGGATAAATTCGGCATCGGAGGAGGGGCGGACAATGGATAAATTCGGCATCGGAGGAGGCGGACAACGGATAAATTCGGCATCGGAGGAGGGCGGACCAACGGATAAATTCGGCATCGGAGGAGGGCGGACAATGGATAAATTCGGCATCGGAGGAGGGCGGACAACGGATAAATTCGGCATCGGGAGGGCGGACAATGGATAAATTCGGCATCGGAGGAGGGCGGACAATGGATAAATTCGGCATCGGAGGAGGGCGGACAATGGATAAATTCGGCATCGGAGGAGGGCGGACAACGGATAAATTCGGCATCGGAGGAGGGCGGACAATGGATAAATTCGGCATCGGAGGAGGGCGGACAATGGATAAATTCGGCATCGGAGGGCGGACAACGGATCGGGAGGGCGGACAATGGATAATTCGGCAGGAGGAGGCGGACAATATAAATTCGGCATCGGAGGAGGGCGGACAATGGATAAATTCGGCATCGGAGGAGGGCGGACAATGGATAAATTCGGCATCGGAGGAGGGCGGACAACGGATAAATTCGGCATCGGAGGGCGGACAACGGATAAATTCGGCATCGGAAGGGCGGACAACGGATAAATTCGGCATCGGGAGGGCGGACAACGTATAAATTCGGCATCAGGAGGAGGACGGACAACGGATAAATTCAGCATCGGAGGAGGGCGGACAACGGATAAATTCGGCATCGGAGGAGGGCGGACAACGGATAAATTCGGCATCGGAGGAGGGCGGACAATGGATAATTCGGCATCGGAGGAGGGCGGACAATGGATAAATGATAACCATTCGGCATCGGAGGAGGGCGGACAACGGATAAATTCGGCATCGGAGGAGGGCGGACAACGTATAAATTCGGCATCGGAGGAGGGCGGACAACGTATAAATTCGGCATCGGAGGAGGGCGGACAACGCCTCAAATTCGGCATCGGAGGAGGGCGGACAATGGATAAATTCGGCATCGGAGGAGGGCGGACAACGTATAAATTCAAGGGGCGGACAATGGATAAATTCGGCATCGGAGGAGGATAAATTCGGGATCGGAGGAGGGCGGACAACAGATAAATTCGGCATCGGAGGAGGGCGGACAACGTATAAATTCGGCATCGGAGGAGGGCGGACAATGGATAAATTCGGCATCGGAGGAGGCGGACAACGTATAAATTCGGCATCGGAGGAGGGCGGACAACGGATAAATTCGGCATCGGAGGAGGGCGGACAACGGATAAATTCGGCATCGGAGGAGGGCGGACAATGGATAAATTCGGCATCGGAGGAGGCGGACACGGATAAATTCGGCATCGGAGGAGGGCGGACAACATATAAATTCGGCATCGGAGGAGGGGACAACGGATTTCGGCATCGGAGGAGGGCGAACAACGGATAAATTCGGCATCGGAGGAGGGCGGACAACGGATAAATTCGGCATCGGAGGAGGCGGACAACGGATAAATTCGGCATCGGAGGAGGGCGGACAATGGATAAATTCGGCATCGGAGGAGGCGGACAACAGATAAATTCGGCATCGGAGGAGGGCGGACAACGGATAAATTCGGCATCGGAGGAGGGCGGACATCGGAGGAGTGCGGACAACGGATAAATTCGGCATCGGAGGAGGGGCGGACAACGTACAACGGAAATTCGGCATCGGAAGGAGGGCGGACAACGGATAAATTCGGCATCGGAGGGCGGACAATGGATAAATTCGGCATCGGAGGCGGGCGGACAACGTATAAATTCGACATCAAGGAGGGCGGACAACGGATAATTCGGCATCGGAGGAGGGCGGACAACGGATAAATTCGGCATCGGAGGAGGGCGGACAACGGATAAATTCGGCATCGGAGGCGGACAACGGATAAATTCGGCATCGACGGACAACGCGAATTCGGCATCGGAGGAGGGCGGACAATGGATAAATTCATCGGAGGAAGGCGGACAACGGATAAATTCGGCATCGGAGGGGGCGGACAATGGATAAATTCGGCATCGGAGGAGGGCGGACAACGGATAAATTCGGCATCGGAGGAGGGCGGACAACATATAAATTCGGCATCGAGGAGGGCGGACAACGGATAAATTCGGCATCGGAGGAGGGCGGACAATGGATAAATTCGGCATCGGAGGAGGGCGGACAACGGATAAATTCGGCATCGGTGGAGGGCGGACAACGGATAGAATTCGGCATCGGAGGTTCATCGGAGGCGGGCGGACAACGGATAAATTCCGGCATCGGAGGAGGGCGCGGACAGCGGATAAATTCGGCATCGGAGGAGGGCCGGACAACGGATAAATTCGGCATCGGAGGGCGGACAACGTATAAATTCGGTATCGGAGGAGGGCGGACAACACAACGTATAAATTCGGCATCGGAGGAGGGCGGACAACGGATACCTGGCATCGAGGGAGGGCGGACAACGGATAAATTCGGCATCGGAGGGCGGACAACGGATAAATTCGGCATCGGAGGGCGGACAACGGATAAATTCGGCATCGGAGGAGGGACAATGGACAAATTCGGCATCGGAGGAGGGCGGACAACGGATAAATTCGGCATCGGAGGAGGGCGGACAACGGATAAATTCGGCATCGGAGGAAGGGCGGACAACGTATAAATTCGGCATCGGAGGAGGGCGGACAACGGATAAATTCGGCATCGGAGGAGGGCGGACAACGGATAAATTCGGCATCGGAGGAGGGCGGACAATGGATAATTCGGCATCGGAGGAGGGCGGACAATTCGGCATCGGAGAAGGGGCGGACAACGTATAAATTCGGCATCGGAGGAGGGCGGACAATAAATTCGGCATCGAAGGAGGGCGGACAACGGATAAATTCGGCATCGGAGGAGGGCGGACAACGGATAAATTCGGCATCGGAGGCGGGCGGAGGGCATCAGAGGACAACCCAACGGATAAATTCGGCATCGGAGGAGGGCGGACAACGGATAAAATTCGGCATCGGAGGGCGGACAACGGATAAATTCGGCATCGGAGGAGGGCGGACAATGGATAAATTCGGCATCGAAGGAATATAAATTCGGCATCGGAGGAGGGCGGACAACGTATAAATTCGGCATCGGAGGGCGGACAACGGATAAATTCGGCATCGGAGGCGGACAACGGATAAATTCGGCATCCGGACGGACAACATATAAAATTCGGCATCAGGAGGGCGGACAACGGATAAATTCGGAGGAGGGCATCGGAGGAGGGCGGACAACGGACAAGGGCATAAATTCGGATAAATTCGGACATCGGATCGGTGGAGGGCGGACAACCTATAAATTCGGCATCGGAGGGCGGACAACGTATAAATTCGGCATCGGAGGAGGGGACAACGGATAAATTCGGCATCGGAGGAGGGCGGACAACATAAATTCGGCATCGGACAACGTATAAATTCGGCATCGAAGGAGGGCGGACAACGTATAAATTCGGCATCGGAGGAGGGCGGACAATGGATAAATTCGGCATCGGAGGAGGGCGGACAAATCGGAATTCGGCATCGGAGGAGGGCGGACAACAGCATCGGAAATTCGGCATCGGAGGGCGGACAACGGCGGACAACGGCATCGGAGGAGGGCGGACAATGGATAAATTCGGCATCGGAGGAGGGTGGACAACGGACCGGCATCGGAGGAGGGCGGACAACGGATAAATTCGGCATCGGAGGAGGGCGGACAACGTATAAATTCGGCATCGAAGGAGGGCGGACAACGTATAAATTCGGCATCGGAGGAGGGCGGACAACGTATAAATTCGGCATCGAGGGAGGGCGGACAACATGGATCGGAACAACGTTCGGCATCGGAGGAGGGCGGACAATGGATAAATTCGGCATCGGAGGAGGGCGGACAACGGATAAATTCGGCATCGGAGGAGGGCGGACAACGGCATAAATTCGGCATCGGAGGAGGGCGGACAACGGATAAATTCGGCATCGGAGGAGGGGCGGCGGACAACGGATAAATTCGGCATCAGAAGGGCGGACAACGTATAAATTCGCCATCGGAGGCATCGGCGGACAACGTAAATTCGGCATCGGGAGGGCGGACAATGGATTTCCGGCATCGGAGGAGGGCATCGGACATCGTATAAATTTGTATCGGAAATTCGGCATCGGAGGAGGGGCGGACAATGGATAAATTCGGCATCGGGAGGGCGGACAACGGATAAATTCGGCATCGGAGGAGGGCGGACAACGTATAAATTCGGCATCGGAGGAGGGCGGACAACGTATAAATTCGGTATCGGAGGAGGGCGGACAGACAAATAAATTCGGCATCGGAGGAGGGCGGACAATGGATAAATTCGGCATCGGAGGAGGGCGGACAACGTATAAATTCGGCATCGGAGGAGGGCGGACAATAAATTCGGCATCGGAACATATAATTCGGCATCGGAGGAGGGCGGACAACGGATAATTCGGCATCGGAGGAGGGGCGGACAACGGATAAATTCGGCATCGGAGAGCGGACAATGGATAAATTCGGCATCGGAGGGGCGGACAACGCATAAATTCGGCATCGGAGGAGGCGGACGGACAAGGGCGGATGGATAAATTCGGCATCGGAGGGAGGCGGACAACGTATAAATTCGATCGGAGGGGGCGGACAACGGATAAATTCGGCATCGGAGGAGGACGGACCCAATGGATAAATCGACATCGGAGGAGGGCGACAACGGATAAATTCGCATCGAAGGTGAGCGGACAACGTATAAATTCGGCATCGAAGCGGAGGGCGGACAACGGATAAATTCGGCATCGGAGGAGGGCGACAATGGATAAATTCGGCATCGGAGAGGGCGGACAAACGATAAATTCGGCATCGAGGAGGGCGGACAACGTATAAATTCGGCATCGGAGGAGGGCGGACAACGGATAAATTCGGCATCGGAGGAGGGCGGATCAAGGCGGATAAATTCGGCATCGGAGGAGGCGGACAACGGACAAATTCGGCATCGGAGGAGGGCGGACAATGATAAATTCGACATCGGAGGAGGGCGGACAACGGATAAATTCGGCATCGAAGGAGGGCGGACAACGGAATAAATTCGGCATTGGAGGAGGGCGACAACGTATACCCGGCATCGGAGGAGTGGGCGGACAACGGATACCCGCATCGGAGGAGGGGCGGACAACGGATAAATTCGGCATCGGAGGAGGGCGGACAACGTAAATTCGGCATCGGAGGAGGGCGGACAACGGATAAATTCGGCATCGGAGGAGGGCGGACAACGGATAAAATTCGGCATCGGAGGAGGGCGGACAATGGATAAATTCGGCATCGAGAGGCGGCTGACAACGAAAATTTGGCATCGGAGGAGGGCGGACAACGAATAAATTCGGCATCGGAGGAGGGCGGACAACGGATAAATTCGGCATCGGAGGAGGGCGGACAACGGATAAATTCGGCATCGGGAGGAGGGGCGGAACGTAAAATTGGATAGGAGGGCGGACAACGTATATCGGCATCGAGGAGGGCGGACAACGGATAAATTTGGCATCGGAGGAGGGCGGACAACGGACAACCCGGCATCGGAGAGGGCGGGACAATGGATGGCATCGGAGGAGGGCGGACAACGGATACCCGGCACGAGGAGGCGGCATCGGAGGAGGGGCGGACAAACGGATAAAATTCGGCATCGGAGGAGGCGGACAACGGATAAATTCGGCACGAGAGGAGGACAACGACAAAATTCGCATCGAAGGAGAGCGGACAACGTATAAATTCGGCATCGGAGGAGGCGGACAACGGCAAATTGGCATCGGAGGAGGGCGGACAACATAAATTCGGCATCGGAGGAGGGCGGACAAATGGATAAATTCGGAGATCGAGGAGGCGGACAACGGCAAATTCGGGTATCGGAGAGGGCGGACAACGGATAAATTCGGCATCGGAGGAGGCGGACAATGGATAAATTCGGCATCGGAGGAGGGGACAACGGATAAATTGACATCGGAGGAGGGCGGATAAAATCGGCATCAGAGGAGGGCGGACAACGGATAAATTCGGCATCGGAGGAGGGCGGACAACGTATAATCGAAGGAGCGGACAACTGAGGCATCGGGGGGGACAACGGATAAATTCGGCATCGGAGGAGGGCGACAACGTATACCCGGCATCGAAGGAGGCGGACAACGTGGCAAACCCAACGGAGGAGGGCGGACAACGGATAAATTCGGCATCGGAGGAGGGCGGACAATGATAAATTCGGAATCGAGGAGAGCGGACAACGGCGCACAAGGAGGGCGGACATCCTGGCATCGGAGGAGGGCGGACAACGGATAAATTCGGCAATGGAGAGGGCGGACAATGGATAAATTCGGCACGAGGAGAGCGGACAACGTATGAATTGGCATCGGAGAAGGGCGGACAACGTATAAACGGTATCGGAGGAGACGGACAACCGATAAAATTGGCATCGGAGGAGGGCGGACAACGGATAAATTCGACATCGAGAGTGGGCGGACAACGTATAAATTGGTATCGAGGAGTGCGGACAACGTGCAATTCCGCATCGAGGAGGGCGGACAACGTATAAATTCGGCATCGATGGAGGGGCGGACAAACGTATAAATTCGGCATCGGAGGAGAGCGGACAACGGCGAAATTGGCATCGAAGGAGGGCGGACATCGTATAAATTGGCATCGGAGGAGGGCGGACAACATTAACAGAGGAGGGCGGACAACGGATAAATTCGGCATCGGAGGGCGGAGGGCGGACACGGATAAATTCGGCATCGGAGAGGAGGGCGGACGACAAATTCGGAGGAGACGGACAATATACCCGATATCGGAGGAGGGCGGACAATGGATAAATTCGACATCGGAGGAGGGCGAACGGCAAAATTCGGTATCAGAGGAGGCACGTATACCCGCATCGGGAGGAGGGGCGACATGCATAAATTGGCACGATGTGAGGGCGACAACGCATAAATTCGGCATCGGAGGAGGGCGGACAAATGCATAAATTCGGCATCGAGGCGGCGGACAATGGCACCCGGCACGGGAGGAGGGCGACAACGCAAATTGAACAGAGGGCGACAATGATAAATTCACATCGATGAGGCGGATACCGATAACCCGGCATCGGAGGAGGTTATGGACAACGGACAAATTCGGCATCGGAGGAGGCGGACAATGGATAAATTGACATCGGAGGAGGGCGGGACAACGAAATTGGTATCCGAGGAGGGCGACAACGTATAATCTGGCATCGAGGAGGGCGGACAACATATAAATTACCGAAGCGAGGGCGACAACGGAAAAATTGCGGCATCGAGGCGGGCGGACAACGGTAAGCAAATTCGGCATCGGACAGGCGACAAATGGAGCACCCGCATCGGAGGAGGGCGACAACGATAAATTCGGTATCGGGATGAGGGTTGCGGACAATGGCAATTCGGCATCGGGAGGAGGGCGGACACGATAAATTAAATGGGAGGGCATCGGAGGACAACAATGGATGGAATTCGGCATCGAGAGAAGGGCCCAGACCATGGTATAATCGGCATCGGAGGAGGGCGGACAACGGATAAATTCGGCATCGAAGGAGGGCGGACAACGGATAAATTCGATGCATCGGAGAGTGGGACAACGGACCACTGGCATAAATTCGGCGGATCGGAATTTGGCATCGAGGAGGCGGACAACGGCAAAATTCGGCATCGGAGGAGGGCGACAACGGATCAAATTCGGAATCGAAGGAGAGTGGACAACGTATAAATTCGCACGAAGGAGCGGACAACGGATAAATTCGGCATCGGAGGAGGCGGACAACATGACGGTCCCAGCATCGGAGGAGGGCAGACAATGGATACCCGGGCATCGGAGAGGTCGGACAACGGCGAATAAATTCGGACAACAGGAGGGGCAGACAACGTATAAATTCGGTGCATCGGAGGAGGGCGACAACGGCAAAATTCAGCATCGAGAGGCGGACAATGGATAAATTCGGCGGCATCGGAGGAAGGGCGGACAACGTATAAATTCGGCATCGGAGGAGGGCGGGACAACGGATAAATTCGCACGGAGGGGGCGGACAATGGGTCAATTCGGCATCCGGAGGAGGGCGAACAATGACGAATTCGGAATTCGGCATCGGAGGAGGGCGGACAAATTCGGATAAATTCGGCATCGGAGGAGGGCGGACAACGGGCGGCATCGGAAGGGCGGACCGGATAAATTCGGCATCGGAGGAGGGCGGACAACGGATAAATTCGGCATCGGAGGTGGGCGGACAACGTATAAATTCGGCATCGGAGGAGGGCGGACAACGTATAAATTCGGCATCGGAGGAGGGCGGACAACGGATAAATTCGGCATCGAGGCGGGCGGACAACGTATAAATTCGGCATCGGTTGGAGTATAAATGCGGACCAACGTATAAATTCGGCATCGGGAGGGCGGACAACGTATAAATTCGGCATCGGAGGAGGGCGGACAATGGATAAATTCGGCATCGGAGGAGGGCGGACAACGGATAAATTCGGCATCGGAGGAGGGCGGACAATGGATAAATTCGGCATCGGAGGAGAGCGGACAACGGATAAATTCGGCATCGGAGGAGGGCGGACAATGGATAAATTCGGCATCGGAGGGCGGGCGGACAACGTATAAATTCGGCATCGGAGGAGGGCGGACGGAATTCAACGGACAACGATAAATTCAGCATCGGAGGAGGGCGGACAATGGATAAATTCGGCATCGGAGGAGGGCGGACAACGTATAAATTCGGCATCGGAGGAGGGGCGGACAACGGATAAATTCGGCATCGGAGGAGGGCGGACAACGTATAAATTCGGCATCGGAGGAGGCGGACAACGTATAAATTCGGCATCGGAGGAGGGCAACGGACAATCGGATACAATATAAATTCGGCATCGGAGGAGGGCGGACAACGGATAAATTCGGCATCGGAGGAGGGCGGACAACGGATAAATTCGGCATCGGAGGAGGGCGGACAACGGATATCGGACGGCATCGGAGGAGGGCGGACAACGGATAAATTCGGCATCGGAGGCGACAAATGGATAAATTCGGCATCGGAGGAGGGCGGACAACGGATAAATTCGGCATCGGCATCGGAGGAGTCATCGGCGGACAACGTATAATTCAGCATCGGAGGAGAGCGGACAACGTATGAATTCGGCATCGAAGGAGGGCGGACAACGGATCATTCAGCATCAGAGGAGGACCGGACAATGGATAAATTCGACATCAGGAGGGCGGACAATTTGATAAATTGACATCGAAGCGAGGGCGGACAACGGATATCAGAGGAGTCGACAACGCATCGGCATCGGGGGAGGCGGACAACAGATAAATTGGCATCGGAGGAGGGCGGACAATGGTCAAATTTCGGCATCGGAGGGGGCGGACAACGGATAGGCGGGCGACAACGGTTCCCGGCATCGGAGAGTGGGCGGACAATGGATAAATTCGACATCGGAGGAGGGCGGACAATGGACAAATTCGGACATCGGAGGACGAGGAGGCGGACAACATGGAAATTCGACATCTGGGAGGAGGGGACAACGTATAACGGATTCCCGATATCGAAGGAGGGCGGACAACGGTAAAATTCGGCATCGAAGGAGGGCGGATAAATGGTAAATTCGCAATCAGGAGGCGGACAAGAGCAAATTCGGCATCGAAGGAGGGCAGACAACGGGCAAATTCGGCATCGGAGGCGGACAACTGAACGCATTCGGCATCGGAGGAGGCGGACAATGGATAAATTCGACATCGGAGGAGGGCGGACAACATGATCAAATTCGCAGCATCGGGAGGAGGGCGGACAACGGTTAAATTTGGCATCGGAGGAGGCGACAATGATAAATTCGCATCGGAGGAGGGCGACAACGCAAATTCGGCATCGAAGGAGTGGCGGACAACAATATAAATTCAGCATCGGAGGAGGCGGACATCGGACACCGGGCATCGGAGGCGGCGGACAACGTATAAACCCGGTATCGGAGGGCGGACAATGGATAAATTCGCCATCGGAGGAGGGCGGACAATGGATAACAGCATCGGAGGAGGGCGGACAACTGGATAAATTCAGCATCAGAGGAGGACGGACAACGTATAAATTGGCATCGGAGAGGGCGGACAACGGATAAATTCGGCATCGGAGGAGGGCAGACAACGTATAAATTCGGTATCGGAGGAGGCGGACAACATAAATTCCGCATCGAGGAGGGTGACAACGTATAATTCGGCATCGATGGAGGGCGGAGAACGGATGAATTCGGCATCGGAGGAGGGCGGACAACGTATAAATTCGGCATCGAGAGGCGGACAACGGACAACCAGCACTGGAGGAAACGTTCCCGGCATCGGAGGAGGGCGGACAATGATAAATTCGGTATCAGAGGAGGGCGGACAACGGACATCGGAGGAGGGCGGACAACGTATAAATTCGGCATCGAGGAGGGCGGACAACGGATAAAATTCGGCATCGGAGGAGGGCGGACAATGGATAAATTCGGCATCAAATTGAGAGGGCGGACAACGTATAAATTCGGCATCGGAGGAGGGCGGACAACATATAAATTCGGCATCGGAGGAGGGGCGGACAACGGATAAATTCGGCATCGGAGGAGGGCGACAACGGATAAATTCGGCATCGGAGGGCGGACAACGGGGCATCGGAGGAGGGCGGACAACGGATAAATTCGGCATCGAAGGAGGGCGGACAACGTATAAATTCGGCGGATCGGAGGCGGACAACGGATAAATCGAGGAGGGCGGACAACGTATAAATTCCGGCATCGGAGGGCGGACAACGGATAAATTCGGCATCGGAGGAGGGCGGACAACGGATAAATTCGGCATCGGAGGAGGGCGGACAACGGATAAATGCTCGGCATCGGAGGAGGGCGGACAACGTGTCTCATTTATCGGAGGAGGGCCGGACAGCGCTGATTCAGCATCGGAGGAGGGCGGATAACGTATAAATTCGGAATCGAGGAGAGCAGACAGCATATAAATTCCGGCATCGAAGAAGGAGGGCGGACATCGTGATTCGGCATCAGAGGAGACGGACAACGAATAAATTCGGCATCAGAGGAGGCCCGGACAATGGTCGGTCAGCATCGGAGAGCAGACAACATGTAATTCAGCATCGGAGGAGGGGCGGACAATGGATAAATTGGGCATCAGGCGGGCGGACAACATAAATTCGGCATAGGTGGAGGCGGACAACGTATAAATTCGGTATCAGAGGAGGGCGGACAATGGATAAATTCGGCGGCATCCGGAGGAAGGTGGACAATGGATAATTTCGGCATCGGAGGAGGGCGGACAGCGGTAAATTCGGCATCGGAGGAGGCGGACAGCAATGGATAAATTCGTCATCGGAGGGCGGACAACGGATAGATTCGACATCGAAGGAGGCGGACAACATAAATGGTCGGTATCGGAGGAGGGCGGACCAACGTATAAATTCAGCATCGGAGGGAGGGTGGACAACATATAAATTCAGCATCGAAGGAGGGCGGACAACATATAAATTAATGGCATCGGAGGGCGGACAACATATAAATTCAGCGGCATCGGAGGAGGGCGAATTGGACATCGGAGGAGGGGGACGGATCGGGAGAACGGACACCCGGCATCGGAGGAGGGGACAATGGATAAATTCGGCATCGGAGGAGGCGGACAACGTATAGAATTCGGCATCGGAGGAGGGCGGACAACGGACCGGCATCGGACAACCGGCATCGAAGGAGAGCGGACAACGGGCGGCACGAAGGAGGGCGGACATCGTATAAATTCGGCATCGGAGGAGGGCGGGCACAACGGACAACAAATTCGGCATCGGAGGAGGCGGACAACGGATAAATTCGGCATCGGAGGAGGGCGGACAATGGATAAATTCGGTATCGGAGGAGGAGGGCGGACAACGATAAATTCGGCATCGGAGGAGGGCGGACAACGGATAAATTCGACATCGAAGGAGTGGCGGACAACGTATAAATTCGGAGCAGATTGGGGCGGACAACGTATAAATTCGGCGGACAACATATAAATTCGGCATCGGAGGAGGGCGGACAACGGATAAATTCGGCATCGGAGGAGGGCGGACAACGGATAAATTCGGCAACGGAGGAGGGCGGACAATGGATAAATTCGGCATCGGAGGAGGGCACAACGGATCGGCATCGGAGGAGGGCGGACAACGTGGATCGAGGACGGACAATGGGCATCGGAGGAGGGCGGACAACGGATACAACCGGCATCGGAGTATAGGGGCGGACAACGGATGGCATCGGAGGAGGGGCGGACAACGGATAAATTCGGCATCGGACAACGTATACCCGCATCGGAGGCGGACAACGGATAAATTCGGCATCGGAGGAGGGCGGACAACGGAAATTCGGCATCGGAGGAGGGCGGGACAACGGATAAATTCAGAATCGGAGGCGGACAACGGATAAATTCGGCATCGGGAGGAGGGCGGACAACGGATAGAGGGCGGAATTCGGAGGAGGACAACGTATAAATTCGGCACGAGGAGGGCGGACAACGTATAAATTTGGCATCGGAGGAGGGCGGACAACGACAACGGAGGAAATTCGGCATCGACATCGAGGAGGGCGGACAACGGATAAATTCGGCATCGGAGAGGGCGGACAACGGATAAATTGGCATCGGAGGCGGACAACGGCAAATTCGGCATCGAGGAGGGCGGACAACGGATAAATTCGGCATCGGAGGAGGGCGGACAACGGATAAATTCGGCATCGGAGGAGGGCGGACAACGATATAAAATTCGGCATCGGCGGACAATGTATAAATTCGGCATCGGAGGAGGGCGGACAATCGGGAGGGCGGACAACGTAACCCGGCATCGGAGGAGGGCGGACAACGGATAAATTCGGCATCGGAGAGGGACAACGGCAAATGGATCGGAGAGGCGGATACGGACAACAACATCGGAGGAGGGCGACAACGGATACCCGGCATCGGAGGAGGGCGGACAACGGCGGCATCAGGAGGTGACAACGTCGGCATCGGAGGAGGGGGACAATGGATAAATTCGGCATCGGAGGACGGACAACGGCAAATTCAGCATCGGAGGAGGGCGGACAACGGACATAAATTCGGCATCGGAGGAGGGCGGACAACGGATACGACATCCCATCGAGGGCGGACAACGTATAAATTCGGCATCAGGAGGGCGGACAACGTATAAATTTGGCAGCATCGGAGGAGGCGGACAACGTATCGGATCGGAGTGGCGGACAACGTATCGGAGGAGAGGGCGGACAATGGATACCCGGCACTGGAGGAGAGGGTGGACAACGTATACCCGGTATCAGAGGAGGCGGAGAACGGATAAACGCGGCATCGGGAGGAGGGCGGACAACGGTATACCCGGCATCGGGAGGAGGGCGGACAACGGATAAATTCGGCATCGGAGGAGGGTGGACAACGGATAAATTCGCATCGGAGGAGGGCGACAATGGATAAATCTCGGCATCGAAGGAGGGCGACAACGATAAATGGGCATCGGAGGAGGGCGGACAATGGATAAATTCGGCAACGGAGGAGGCCGACAACGGATACCCGGCATCGGAGGAGGGCGGACAATGGACAAATTCATCGGGAGAAGGGCGGACAACGGACAAATCGGATCGGTGGAGGGCGACAACGGACAATGGTATCTGAGGAGGCGGAAACGTATCGGCACGGAGGAGGGCGACAAATGGATAACCGGCAACGGCAGAACGCATCGGGAGGTGAGGGCGGAGAACGATAAATTCGGCATCGGAGGAGGGCGGACAACGTATAAATTCGGCATCGGAGGAGGGCGTGACAAATGATAAATTCGGCATCGGAGGAGAGGACAACGCATAAATTCGGACAACGGATACAATTGGCACGGAGGAGGGCGGACAAACGGATCGAAGGAGGTATCGGGAGGAGGGACGGAGAGCAACGTATAAATTCGGTATCGGAGGAGGGCGGACAACGGATAAATTCCCAGGACGGGAGGAAATTGGCATCGGAGGAGGGCGGACAACGTATGGCACGAAGGAGGGCGGACAATGGATAAACGGATACCCGGCATCGAGGAGGGCGGACAACGGCAAATTCGGCATCGGAGGAGGGCGGACAACGTATGAATTCGGCATCGGAGGAGGGCGGACAACGGATAAATTCGGCATCGGAGGAGGGCGGACAAATTCGACATGGATAAATTGCATCGAGGAGGGCGGACAACGGATAAAGGAGTGCGGCATCGGAGGAGGGGGCGGACAACGTATAAATTGGCATCGAAGGAGGGCGGACAACGGATAAATTCGGCATCGGAGGAGGCGGAACGCACCGGCACGGAGGCGGGCGAAACGGTTCGGCATCGGTGGAGGCGGACAATGGCATCGGAGGAGGGCGGACAATGGATACCCGGCATCGGAGGAGGGCGGACAATGGAGGAGGGCGACAACGACGACATCGGGAGGAGAGGCGGACAACGGATACCCGATATCGAAGGAGGGCGACATCGAAAATTCGGAGGGCGGACAAATGTATAAATTCGGCATCGGAGGAGGGGCGACAATGGACAACGGGCAAATTGGCATCGGAGGAGGGGCGGACAACATAAGGATTCGGCAATGATAACGGAGGAGGAGGGCCGGTATCGATCGGGAGGAGGGCGGACAACGTATAAATTCGGCATCGGGAGGAGGGACAATGACAACGCATAAATTCGGCATCGGAGGAGGGCGGACAACGGATAAATTCGGCATCGGGTGGAGGGCGGACAATGATACCCGGCATCGGAGGAGGGGCGGACAACGGAAAATTCGGTATCGGAGGAGGCGGACAACGGATAAATTCGGTATCGGAGGAGGGCGGACAACGGATACCCGGCATCGGAGGAGGGCGACAACATATACCCGGTATCGGGAGAGGGGCGACAACGTATAAATTGGCATCGGAGGCGGGCGGAATTGACAACCGGCATCGGAGGAGGGTGATGTCGCATAACGGAGGAGGCGGACAATGGATAAATTCGGCATCGGGAGGAGGGGCGACAACGATACCGGCATCGAGGAGAGCGGACAACGGATGAATTCGGCATCGGAGAGGGCGGGACAAATTCGGCATAAACGTCGGATCGGAGGAGGGCGACAATGATAAATCGGCATCGGAGGTGGGCGGACAACGGGACAACGTATACCCGGCATCGGAGAGGCGGACAACGAAATTGCGGCACGAAGGAGGGCGGACAACGGCGACAAACTCGGCATCGGAGGAGGCGGACAACGGATAAATTCGGCATCGGAGGCGGGCGGACAATGGATAAATTGGCATCGAAGGAGGGTGGACAACGTATATCGGCATCGGAGGGCGGACAACGGATACCCGGCATCGGAGGAAGGGGACAATGATAAATTCGACATCGGAGGAGGGCGGACAATGGATAAATTCGACATCGAAGGGGCGGACAAACGTAAAATTCGGTATCGGAGGAGGGCGGACAATGAAAATTCGGAGGAGGCGACAACGGATAAATTCGGCATCGGAGGAGGGCGGACAACGCGGCCCGACAACGGAGGAGGGCGGACAACATAAATTCGACATCGGAGGAGGGCGGATCGAAGGAGAGGAGGGCGGACAACGGTAAATTATAGGAGTGGCGGACAACGAGGCCCGGCATCGGAGGAGGGCGGACAACGTATACCCGGCATCGGGAGGAGGCGGACAATGGATACCTGGCACGGAGGAGGCGACAATGGATAACCCGGCATCGGAGGAGGGGCGGGACAATGATACCTGGCATCGGGAGAGGGCGGACAACGTATACCCGGCATGGAGAAGGGCGACAACGAATAAATGCATCGGAGGAGGGGGCGGACAACGGATACCTGGCATCGGAGAAGGGGCGGGACAACGGATAAATCTGGCATCGGAGGAGGGCGGACAACTGAGCAACCCGGCATCGGGGAGGGCGATAACGGATGACATCAACGCGGACAACGTGGCACCGCATCGAAGGAGAAAGCGACAACGGCAAATTTGGTTTGGGAGGAGCGCGGACAACGGACAAACGGAGGTGGGGCATCGGCATCGAGGAGGGCGGACAACGACAAATTCGGAATCGAAGGAGAGCGACAATGGATAAATTGGCATCGGAGGAGGGCGGACAACGGATACCCGCATCGGAGGAGGGCGACAACGATAAATTGGCATCGGAGGGGGGCGGACAATGGATACCCGGCACGGGAGGAGGGCGGACAATGACAAACGCGAATCGGGAGTGGGCGAGTGGCGTGACAACGGATAAATTGACATCGGAGGAGGGCGGACAACGTATAAATTCGACATCGAAGCGAGGAGGGCGGACAAACATACCCGGCACGGGAGAGGCGGACAACATATACCCGCATCGGAGGAGGGCGACAACGGCACCCGGCACCGGGATCGATGGTGGCGGAAACGTATAACCGGTATGGGAGGAGGGCGGACAACGATACCTGGCATCGGAGGAGGCGGACAACGGATACCCGGCATCGGAGGAGGGCGGACAACGTATAACCGGCATCGGAGGAGGGCGACAATGGATAAATTGGCATCGGAGGAGGGCGACAACTTATAAATTCGGCACATCGGAGGAGGGGGCGGACAACGACAAATTCGGCATCGATGAGGAGACAACAAATTCGATAGGGTGGCGGACAACGCTCTGAGGAGGCGACGAGTGGAGGAGGGCGGACAACATATAAATTCGCCGAAGCGAGGCGGACAACGGAGAAATGGCATCGGAGGAGTAACGGACAACGGTATCGGGAGGCGGGCGGACAACGTATAACCCGGCATGGGAGGAGGGCGGACAATGGATAAATTCGGCATCGGAGGAGGGCGACAACGGATACCCGGCATCGGAGAAGGGCGGACAACGTATAAATCGGCATCGGAGGAGGGCGGACAACTGATAAATTGGCATCGAAGGAGGGCGACAACGGATAAATTCGACATCGGAGAAGGGCGGACAACGTGGCACCGGCATCGGAGGCGGGCGACAAACGATACAACGCTGGCATCGGGAGGAGTGGCGGACAAACGGGCACCCGGCATCGAGGAGTGGCGGACAACGTATAAATTCGGAATCGAAGGAGAGCGGACAACGTATAAATTGCATCGAAGGAGGGCGACATCGTATAAATTCGGCATCGGAGGAGGGCGACAACGGATAAATTCGGCATCGGAGGGGAGAGCGGACAATGGATACCCGGCACGGGAGGAGAGCGACAACGCGAACCCGGCACGGGAGGGGCGGACAACGGATACCTGGCACGGAGGAACGGCAAATTGAATGAAGGAGAGCGACAACGGATAAATTGACATCGAAGGAGGGCGGACAACGTATCGGTATCAGAGGAGTCAACGGCATCGGAGGAGGCGGACAACGGATAAATTCATCGATGGAGGGCGGACAACGTATACCCGGACAATGGGACAATGCATAAATTGGCATCGGGAGAGGGTGGACAACAACCTGGCACGGAATTGGCGGCAACGTATACCCGGTATCAGAGGAGGGCGACAATGGATAAATTGCACGGAGGCGGGCGGACAACAGATACCCGGCATAGGTGGAGGGCGACAACGGATAAATTCGGCATCGGAGAGGGCGGACAATGGATAAATTCGACATCGGAGGAGGCGGATGTCGGCGTACCCGGTATTCGAGGAGGCGGACAACGTATAAATTCGGCATCGGAGGAGGGCGGACAACATATAAATTCGGTATCGAAGGAGGGCGGACAACGTAAAATTGGCATCGGAGGAGGGCGGACAACGTATACCCGGCACAAGAGGGCGGACAACGGATAAATTGGCATCGGAGGAGGCGGACAATGGATACCCGGCAATGGAGGAGGCGGACAATGGATACCCGGCATCGGAGGAGGGCGGACAACGGATAATTCGGCACGGAGGCGGGGCGGACAACGTATACCGGCATCGGAGGAGGGGCGGACAACGGATAAATCTGGCATCGAGGAGGGCGGACAACGGATACCCGGCATCGGAGAAGGGCGGACAACGTATACCCGGGTACGGGAGGAGGGCGGACAACGGATACCCGGCATCGAAGCGAGGCGGACAACGGATACCTGGCATCGGAGGAGGCGACAACGTATACCCGGTATGGAGGAGGGCGGACAACGTATAAATTGGCATCGAAGGAGGGCGGACAACGTATAAATGGCATCGGAGGAGGCGGACAACGGATAAATTCGGAATCGAAGGAGAGCGGACAACGTATAAATTCGGTGCATCGAAGAATGGAGGCATCGGAGGACAACGGACAACCATACCCGGCATCGGAGGAGGGCGGACAATGGATAAATTGGCACGGGAGGAGAGCGGACAACGGGCGAATTCGGCATCGGAGGAGGCGGACAATGGGATAAATTGGGCATCGGAGGCGGGCGGACAACGATACCCGGCATAGGTGGAGGGCGGACAACGTATACCGGTATCAGAGAGGGCGGACAATGGATACCCGGCATCGGAGAGGGTGGACAATGGATACCCGGCACGGAGGAGGCGGACAACGGATAACGGCACGGCGAGGCGGACAATGGATACCTGTCATCGGAGGAGGGCGGACAATTGAATTGACATCGAAGGAGGGCGGACAACGTATACCGGTATCGGAGGAGGCGGACAACGTATACCGGCAATGGGAGGAGGGCGCGACAAATATATACCGCGCACGAAGGAGGGCGGACAACGTATACCCGCCATGGGAGGAGGGCGGACAACGTATACCCGGCATCGGGAGGGCGGACAAATGGCATCGGGAGGAGGCGACAACCGGCATCGGAGGAGGGCGGACAACGTATACCGGGCACGAGGAGGGCGACAATGGATACCTGGACATCGGAGGAGTGGCGGGACAATGGATAAACCGACACGGAGGAGGGGCGGACAACGTATACCTGCACGGGAGAAGGGCGGACAATGGTACCGGTATCGGCAGGAGGAGGGCGGACAACGTATACCGGCACGAAGGAGGGGCGGACAACGCATACCCGGCACGAAGGAGGGGCGGACAATGTATACCGGCACGGGAGAAGGGCGGACAATGGATGCACGGGGAGGGCGGACAACGGATACCCGGCATCGGAGGAGGGCGGGACAACGGATACCCGGCATCGGAGGAGGGCGGACAATGGATACCGGCACGGAGGAGGGCGGACAATGGATACCTGCACGGGAGGAGGGCGGGACATGGGATAAATGACATCGGAGGAGGGCGGACAACGATACCTGACATCGAAGGAGGGCGGACAACGGATAAATTGGACATCTGAGGATTTGGGAGGGCGGACAACGATATACTGGCACGGAGGAGGGCGGGACAACACATAAATTCGGCATCGAAGGAGGCGACAACGTGATACCCGGCATCGGAGGAGGGCGACAACGGCATACCCGGCATCGGAGGAGGGCGGAAATGGATACCCGGCACGAGGAGGGCGGACAACGGATAAATTTCCGGCATCGGAGGAGGGCGACAACGTATACCTGGCATCGGGAGGAGTGGGCGGACAATGGATAAATTGGCACGGAGGAGGGCGGACAACGGCAAAATTGGCATCGGAGAAGGGCGGACAACGTATACCCGGCATCGGGAGGAGGGCGGACAACGGATACCCGGCATCGAAGGAGGGCGGACAACGGATAACCGCGACGGAGAGTGCGACAACGTATACCCGGCACGGAATGGCGGACAACGTATAACGGTATCGGAGGAGGGCGGACAATGGATACCCGCAAGGAGGGCGACAACGTGAGGAATCGAAGGAGAGCGGACAACGTATACATCGAAGGAGGGCGGACAACGGCATAAGGGCGGACAACGGATATCAGAGGAGTGCGACAACGCATAAATACGGCATCGGAGGAGAGCGGACAACGCTATAATTCGGCATCGGAGGAGGAGGGCGGACAGGAACGGGACAATGGATAAATTGCATCGGAGGAGTGGCGACAACGGATAAATTCGAAGGAGGGCGGAGGCGGGCCCGGTATCAAGGAGTGCGGACAACGTATGGTATCGGGCGAGGGCGGACAACGGCGCGGCATCGAAGGAGGCGGACAACGTATACCCGGCATCAGAGGAGGGGCGGACAACGGATACCTGGCATCGGAGGCGGGCGGACAACGGCAAATTCGGCATCGGGAGGAGGGGCGGAAACGGCAAATTGGTATCAGAGGAGGGCGGGACAATGGATACCCGGCATCGGAGGAGGGCGGACAATGGATAACCGGCATCGGAGATGAGGGCGGACAACGGATACCCGGGTATCGGAGGAGGGCGGACAATGGATAAATGACATCGGGAGGAGAGGCGGACAACGGATAAATTCGGACATCGAAGGAGGGCGGACAACGTATAAATTCGGTATCGGAGGAGGGCGGACAAACGTATAAATTCCGGCATCGGAGGAGGGCGGACAAATATAAATTCGGCATCGGAGGAGGGCGGACAACGGCACCCGGCATCGGAGGAGGGCGACAATGGACAACCCGCATCGGGAGGAGGACAACGGATAACCCGGCATCGGAGGAGGGCGGACAACGGATACCGGCATCGGAGGAGGCGGACAACGTATACCCGCACGGAGGAGGGCGGACAATGGATAAATTCGGCATCGGAGGAGAGGGCGGAACGTATACCCGGCATCGAAGGAGGGCGGACAATGGATACCCGGCATCGGAGAGGCGGCGGACAACGGATACCCGGCATCGGAGGAGGGCGGACAACGTATACCGGCATCGGTGGAGGGCGGACAATGTATAAATTCGCCATCGGAGGAGGCGAACGGATACCCGCACGGGAGGAGGGCGACAATGGATACCCGGCATCGGAGAGGCGGACAACGGATAAATTGGCATCGAGGAGGGCGGGAGAACGGATACCCGGCATCGGAGGAGGGCGGACAATGTATACCCGGCATCGGGAGGGTGGCGGACAATGGATAACCGGCATCGGAGGAGGGCGGAGAACGGATAAATTCGGCATCGGAGGAGGGGCGGACAATGGCGGGCCTGGCATCGGAGGAGGCGGACAACGGATGAATTCGCATCGGAGGAGGGCGGACAAACGTATAAATTCGGCATCGAGGAGGCGGACAACGACAAATTCGGCATCGGAGGAGGTCGGACAACGTATAAATTCGGCATCAGAGGAGGGCGGACAACGGCAAATTCGGCATCGGAGGAGGGCCGACAATGTATAAATTCGGCATCGGAGGAGGGCGACAATGGATACCCGGTATCGGGAGAAGGGCGGACAACAGATACCCGGCATCGGTGGAGGGCGGACAACGTACTCAAATTCGCCATGGAGGAGGGGCGGACAATGGATAAATTCGGCATCGGAGATGGGGCGGACAATGTATAAATTCAGCGTCGGAGAGGGCGGACAACGTATAAATTCGGCATCGGAGGAGGGCGGACAACGATAAATTCATCGGAGGCGGGGCGGACAACGGATACCCGATATCGAAGGTGGCGGACAACGTATAACCGGCATCGGGAGGAGGCGGACAACGGCAAATTCGGCATCGGAGGAGGGCGGACAACGGATAAGAACACGAAGGAGGGCGGACAACGGATAAATTCCGGCATCGGAGGAGGGCGGACAACGGATACCGGCATCGGAGAGGGCGGACAATGGATAAATTCGGCATCGGTGGAGGGCGGACAACGGATAAATTCGGCATCGGAGGAGGGCGGACAACGTATAAATTCGGTATCGGAGAGGTCGGACAATGGATAAATTCGACATCGAGGAGGGCGGACAACGTACATACCCGGCATCGAAGGAGGGCGGACAACGGATAAATTCGGCATCGGAGAGGCGGACAACGGCGAATTCGGCATCGGAGGCGGGCGGACAACGTATAAATTTGGCATCGGAGGAGGGCGGACAACGTATACCCGGCATCGGAGGAGGGCGGACAACGTATAACGCTACCGAAGGTGAGCGGACAACGTATACCCGGCATCGAAGGAGGGCGGACAACGGCGGCCTCCGGCATCGGAGGAGGGCGGACAACGTATAAATTCGGTATCAGAGGAGGGCGGACAATGGATAAATTCGGCATCGGAGGAGGACAATGGATAGAATTCGGCATCGGAGGAGGGCGGACAACGTATAAATTCGGCATCGGAGGGCGGACTACGTATAAATTCGGCATCCGGAGGAGGGACAATGCGGCATCGGAGGAGGGCGGACGATAAAAAATTCGGCATCGGAGGGGACAACATGGATCGGAGGAGGGCGGACAATGGATAATTCGGCATCGGAGGAGGGGCATCGGACAACGTATAAATTCGGCATCCGGAGGAGGGCGGACAACGGGCATCGAAGGAGGAAACAGATAAATTCGACATCGGAAGGAGGGCGGACAACGTATAAATTTGGCATCAGAGGAGGGCGGACAACGTATAAATTCGGCATCGGAGGCGGACAACAACGTATAAATTCGGCATCGGAGGAGAGCGGACAACGGATAAATTCGGCATCGAAGGAGGACAACGGATAAATTCGGCATCGGAGGAGGCGGACAACGGATATTCGGCATCGGAGGGGGCGGACAACGTATCGGAATTATGTTCAGCATCGGAGGGCGGACAACGGGCGGACAAGGACCGGACAATGGATAAATTCGACATCGGAGGAGGTGCGGACAACGGATAAATTCGACATCGAAAGGAGGGGCGGACAACGGATAAATTCGGCATCAGAGGAGGGCGGACAACGTATGAAATTCCGCATCGGAGGCGGACAATATAAATTCGGATCGATGGATGGATAAATTCGGCATCGGAGGAGGGCGGACAACGTATAAATTCGGCATCGAAGGGCGGACAACGGATAAATTCGGCATCGGAGGAGGGCGGACAACGTATAAAATTCGGCATCGGACAATGGATAAATTCGACATCGGCGGACAATGGATAAATTCGGCATCGGAGGAGGGCGGACAACGGATAAAATTCGGCATCGGAGGAGGGCGGACAATGGATAATTCGGCATCCGGAGGGCGGACAACGTATAAATTCGGCATCGGAGGGCCCGAAAGCTGGATAAATTCGGCATCGGAGGCGGAGGGTTCGGCATCGGACGGACAACGTAAATTCGGCATCGGAGGAGGGCGGACAATGGATAAAAATTCGGCATCGGAGGAGGGCGGACAACGGATAAATTCGGCATCGGAGGGGCGGACAACGGATAAATTCGGCATCGGAGGAGGGCGGACAACGTATAAATTCGGCATCGGAGGAGGGCGGACAATGGATGGCATCGGCGGACAACGGACTCAAAATTCGGCATCGAGAAAGGGCGGGACAACGTATAAATTCGGCATCGGAGGAGGGGCGGACAACGTATGGGTTCGGCATCGGAGGAGGGCGGACAACGGATAAATTCGACATCGGAGGAGGCGGACGCGTATAAATTCGGCATCGGAGGCGGGGCGGACAACGGATAAAATTTGGCATCGGAGGGCGGAGGGCATCGGAGGACCAACGTATAAATTCGGCATCGAGGAGGGCGGACATCGGATAATTCGGCATCGGAGGAGGGGCGGACATAAAGATGGGAGGGCGGACAATGGATAAATTCGGCATCGGAGGAGGGCCCGGACAACGGATAGTAATTCGGCATCGGAGGAGGGCGGACAATGGATAAATGGAGCATCGGAGGCGGGCGGACAATGGATAAATTCGGCATCGGAGGAGGCGGACAACGTATAATTCGGCATCGGAGGAGGCGGACAACGGATAAATTCAGCATCGGAGGAGGGCGGACAATGGATAAATTCGGCATCGGAGGAGGGCGGGACAACGGATAAATTCGGCATCAGAGGAGGGCGGACAATGGATAAATTCGTCATCGGAGGAGGCGGACCAACGGATGAATTCGACATCAAAGAGGAGGGCGGACAACGTATAAATTCAGGCATCGGAGGAGGGCGGACAACGTATACGGATGGGCGGACAACATCGGCGGCATCGGGAGGGCGGACGGCGTATAAATTCGGCATCGGAGGGGCGGACAACGTATCAATTCGGCATCGGAGGGCGGACAGCAGACAATTCGGCATCGGAGGGCGGACAACGGATAAAATTCGGCATCGGAGGAGGGCGGACAACGTATCGGTCGGCGGCATCGGAGGAGGCGGACATACGGCATCGGAGGAGGGCGGACAACGTGGCATCGGAGAAGGGCGGACAACGTATAAATTCAGCATCGGAGGAGGGCGGACAACGGATAAATTCGGCATCGGAGGAGGGCGGACAACATGCTCAATTCGGCATCGAAGGAGGGCGGACAACGTATAATTCGGCATCGAAGGCGGACAATATAAATTCGGAGGGCGGACAATGGATAAATTCGGCATCGGGAGGCGGGCGGACAACGGATAAATTCGGCATCGGTGGAGGGGCGAGACAACGGATAAATTCGGCATCGGAGGGCGGACAATGGATAAATTCGGCATCGGAGGGCGGACAGCAGATGGTCGGCATCGGAGGGCAGACAACGGATAAATTCGGCATCGGGTAGGGCGGACGCGACATCGAAGGAGGCGGTGCTTGTGTATAAATTCGGCATCGGAGGAGGGCGGACAACGTATAAATTCGGCATCGGAGGAGGGCGGACAACTGGATAAATTCCGCATCCGAAGGAGGGCGGACAACGTATAAATTCAGGATCGGCGGAGAACGGACAACATCGGCATCGGAGGAGGGCGGACCATGGATAAATTCGGCATCCGGAGGAGGGCGGACAACGGATAAAATTCGGCATCGGAGGAGGGCGGACAACGTATAATTCGGCATCGGAGGGGCGGACAATGGATAAATTCGGCATCGGAGGAGGGCGGACGGCAATATAAATTCGGATCGGAAATTCGGTATCATCGGAGGGCGGACAACAGATAAAATTCGGCATCGGAGGAGGGCGGACAACGGATAAATTCGGCATCGGAGGAGGGCAGATTCGGCATCAAGGGCGGACAACGTAAAATTGGCATCGGAGGAGGGCGGACAACGTATAAATTCGCCATCGGAGGGCGGACGTTAGGGAATCGGACAATGGATAAATTCCGGCATCGGAGGAGGGCGGACAATGTATAAAATCGGCATCGGAGGAGGGCGGACAACGGATAAATTCGGCATCGGAGGAGGCGCGGACAACGTATAAATTCGGCATCGGAGGAGGCGGACAACGGATAAATTCGGCATCGGAGGAGGGCGGACAACGGATAAATTCGGCATCGGAGGAGGGGACGGACAACGGATAAATTCGGCATCGGAGGAGGGCGGACAATGGATAAATTCGGCATCGGAGGAGGGCGGACAACGTATAAATTCGGCATCGGAGGAGGGCGGACAACGGATAAATTCGGCATCGGAGGAGGGCGGACAAAGTATAAATTCGGCATCGGAGGAGGGCGGACAACGGATAAATTCGGCATCGGAGGAGGGCGGACAACGTATAATTCGGCATCGGAGGAGGGCGGACAATGGATAAATTCGGCATCGGAGGAGGGCGGACAACAGGAGGGCGGACAACGGATAAATTCGGCATCGGAGGGAGTGCCATCGGAGGGAGGCGGACAACGTATAAATTCGGCATCGGAGGAGGGCGGACAACGTATAAATTCGGCATCGGAGGAGGGCGGACAATGGATAAATTCGGCATCGGAGGAGGCGGACAACGGGCATCGAAAGGACGGACAACGTATAAATTTCGGCATCGGAGGAGGGCGGACAACGTATAAATTCGGCATCGGAGGAGGGCGGACAATGATAAATTCGGCATCGACATCGGAGGAGGCGGACAACGTATAAATTCGGCATCGAAGGAGGGCGGACAACGTATAAATTCGGCATCGGAGGAGGGCGGACAATGGATAAATTCGGCATCGGAGGAGGGCGGACAACGGATAAATTCGGCATCGGAGGAGGGCGGACAACGGATAAATTCGGCATCGGAGGAGGCGGACAATGGATAAATTCGGCATCGGAGGAGGGCGGACAACGGATAAATTCGGCATCGGAGGAGGGCGGACAACGGATAAATTCGGCATCGGAGGAGGGGCGGACAACGTATAAATTCGGCATCGGAGGAGGGCGGACAACGTATAAATTCGGCATCGGAGGAGGGCGGACGGAACGTATAAATTCGGCATCGGAGGAGGGCGGACAATGGATATAATTCGGCATCGGAGGAGGGCGGACAACGTATAAATTCGGCATCGGAGGAGGGCGGACAACGGATAAATTCGGCATCGGAGGAGGGCGGACAACGGATAAATTCGGCATCGGAGGAGGGCGGACAACGGATAAATTCGGCATCGGAGGAGGGCGGACAACGTATAAATTCGGCATCGGAGGAGGGCGGACAATGGATAAATTCGGCATCGGAGGAGGGCGGACAACGGATAAATTCGGCATCGGAGGAGGGCGGACAACGTATAAATTCGGCATCGGAGGAGGGCGGACAACGATATAATTCGGCATCGGAGGAGGGCGGACAACGGATAAATTCGGCATCGGAGGAGGGCGGACAACGGATAAATTCGGCATCGGAGGAGGGCGGACAACGGATAAATCGGCATCGGAGGAGGGCGGACAATCAGAGAGAAAATTCGGCATCGGAGGAGGGCGGACAATGGATAAATTCGGCATCGGAGGAGGGCGGACAACGGATAAATTCGGCATCGGTGGAGGGCGGACAACGGATAAATTCGGCATCGGAGGAGGGCGGACAATGGATAAATTCGGCATCGGAGGAGGGCGGACAACGGATAAATTCGGCATCGGAGGAGGGCGGACAACGGATCGGAGGGCGGCATCGGAGGAGGGCGGACAACGGATAAATTCGGCATCGGAGGAGGGCGGACAATGGATAAATTCGGCATCGGAGGAGGGCGGACAACGTATAAATTCGGCATCGGAGGAGGCGGGACAAAATTCGATAAATTCGGCATCGGAGGAGGGCGGACATTTGGCATGAATAAATTCGGCATCGGAGGAGGGCGGACAACGGATAAATTCGGCATCGGAGGGCGGACAACCATAAATGGCATAAATTCGGCATCGGAGGAGGGCGGACAACATCGGAGGAGGGCATCGGACAAGCGTAAATTCGGCATCGGAGGAGGGCGGACAACGGATAAATTCGGCATCGGAGGGCGGACAACGTATAAATTCGGCACAAAGGCGGACAATGGATAAATTCGGCATCGGAGGAGGGCGGACAATGGATAAATTCGGCGGCATCGGAGGGCGGACAACGTATAAATTCGGCATCGGAGGAGGGCGGACAATGGATAAATTCGGCATCGGAGGAGGGCGGACAACGTATAAATTCGGCATCGGAGTAGGGCGGACAATGGATAAATTCGGCATCGGAGGAGGGCGGACAACATTATAAATTCGCCATCGGAGGAGGGCGGACAATGGATAAATTCGGCATCGGAGGAGGGCGGACAATACGATAAATTCGGCATCGGAGGAGGGCGGACAACGGATAAATTCGGCATCGAAGGAGGGCGGACAACGGATAAATTCGGCATCGGAGGAGGGCGGACAACGGATAAATTCGGCATCGGAGGAGGGCGGACAACGGATAAATCGGCATCGGAGGAGGGCGGACAACGGATAAATTCGGCATCGGAGGAGGGCGGACAACGGATAAATTCGGCATCGGAGGAGGGCGGACAATGGATAAATTCGGCATCGGAGGAGGGCGGACAACGGATAAATTCGGCATCGGAGGAGGGGCGGACAACGTATAAATTCGGTATCGGAGGAGGGCGGACAACGGATAAATTCGGCATCGGAGGAGGGCGGACAACGTATAAATTCGGCATCGGAGGAGGGCATCGGACGGACAATGGATAAATTCGGCATCGGAGGAGGGCGGACAACGGCATAAATTCGGCATCGGAGGAGGGCGGACAACGTATAAATTCGGCATCGGAGGAGGGCGGACAACGGATAAATTCGGCATCGGAGGAGGGCGGACAACGGATAAAATTCGGCATCGGAGGAGGGCGGACAACGGATAAATTCGGCATCGGAGGAGGGCGGACAACGGATAAATTCGGCATCGGAGGAGGGCGGACAACGGATAAATTCGGCATCGGAGGAGGGCGGACAACGGATAAATTCGGGAGGCGGCATCGGAGGAGGGCGGACAACGTATAAATTCGGCATCGGAGGAGGGGACAATGGATAAATTCGGCATCGGAGGGAGGGCGGACAACGCATTCGGCATCGGAGGGGACAATGGATAAATTCAATCGGAGGAGGGCGGACAAATAAATTCGGCATCGGAGGAGGGCGGACAATGGATAAATTCGGCATCGGAGGAGGGCGGACAACGGATAAATTCGGCATCGGAGGAGGGCGGACAAATTCGGATAAATTCGACATCGGAGGAGGGCGGACAACGTATATCGAAGGGCGGACAATTAAATTCGGCATCGGAGGGCGGACAACGATAAATTCGGCATCGGAGGAGGCGGACAATGGATAAATTCGGCATCGGAGGAGGGCGGACAAAGGATAAATTCGGCATCGGAGGAGGGCGGACAATGGATACGGATCGGAGGAGGGCGGACAATGGATAAATTCGGCATCGGAGGAGGGCGGACAACGGATAAATTAAATTCGGCATCGGAGGAGGGCGGACAACGGATAAATTCGGCATCGGAGGAGGGCGGACAACGTATAAATTCGGCATCGGAGGAGGGCGGACAACGGATAAATTCGGCATCGGAGGAGGGCGGACAACGGATAAATTCGGCATCGGAGGAGGGCGGACAACGGATAAATTCGGCATCGGAGGAGGGCGGACAACGGATAAATTCGGCATCGGAGGAGGGCGGACAACGGATAAATTCCCGGCATCGAAGGAGGGCGGACAATGGATAAATTCGGCATCGGAGGACAACGTATAAATTCGGCATCGGAGGAGGGCAGACGTATAAATTCGGCATCGGAGGAGGGCGGACAACGGATAAATTCGGCATCGGAGGAGGGCGGACAACGTATAAATTCGGCATCGGAGGAGGGCGGACAACGGATAAATTCGGCATCGGAGGAGGCGGACAATGGATAAATTCGGCATCGGAGGAGGGCGGACAACAGATAAATTCGGCATCGGAGGAGGGCGGACAACGGATAAATTCGGCATCGGAGGGGCGGACAACGTATAAATTCGGCATCGGAGGAGGGCGGACAATGGATAAATTCGGCATCGGAGGAGGGCGGACAACGGATAAATTCGGCATCGGAGGAGGGCGGACAACGGATAAATTCGGCATCGGAGGAGGGCGGACAACGGATAAATTCGGCATCGGAGGAGGGCGGACAATGGATAAATTCGGCATCGGGAGAATTCCGCACAAACAATGGCATCGGAGGAGGGCGGACAACGGATAAATTCGGCATCGGAGGAGGGCGGACAACGGATAAATTCAGCATCGGAGGAGGGCGGACAATGGATAAATTCGGCATCGGAGGAGGGCGGACGGAGTATCGGAGGAGGGCGGACAACGTATAAATTCGGCATCGGAGGAGGGCGGACAATGGATAAATTCGGCATCGGAGGAGGGGCGGACAACGGATAAATTCGGCATCGGAGGAGGGCGGACAACGGATAAATTCGGCATCGGAGGAGGGGGACAATGGACAAATTCGGCATCGGAGGAGGGCGGACAATGGATAATAAATTCGGCATCGGAGGAGGGCGGACAATGGATAAATTCGGCATCGGAGGAGGGCGGACAACGGATAAATTCGGCATCGAAGGAGGGCGGACAACGTATAAATTCGGTATCGGATCAAAGAGGGCGGACAACGTATAAATTCGGCATCGGAGGAGGGGACAACGGATAAATTCGGCATCGGAGGAGGGCGGACAACGGATAAAATTCGGCATCGGAGGAGGGCGGACAACGTATAAATTCGGCATCGGAGGAGGGCGGACAATGGATAAAATTCGGCATCGGAGGAGGGCGGACAATGGATAAATTCGGCATCGGAGGAGGGCGGAAAACGGATAAATTCGGCATCGGAGGAGGGCGGACAACGGATAAATTCGGCATCGGAGGAGGGCGGACAATGGATAAATTCGGCATCGGAGGAGGGCGGACAACGTATAAATTCGGCATCGGAGGAGGGCGGACAACGGGCATCGGAGGAGGGCGACAACGGATAAATTCGGCATCGGAGGAGGGCGGACAATGGATAAATTCGGCATCGGAGGAGGGCGGACAACGGGATAAATTCGGCATCGGAGGAGGGCGGACAACGTATAAATTCGGCATCGGAGGAGGGCGGAAATTCGGCATCGGAGGGAGGGCGGACAACGGATAAATTCGGCATCGGAGGAGGGCGGACAACGGATAAATTCGGCATCGGAGGGCGGACAACGGATAAATTCGGCATCGGAGGAGGGCGGACAACGGATAAATTCGGCATCGGAGGCGGGCAACGTATAAATTCGGACAAGGGCGGACAATAAATTCGGCATCGGAGGAGGGCGGACAACGGATAAATTCGGCATCGGAGGAGGGCGGACAATGGATAAATTCGGCATCGGAGGAGGGCGGACAACGGATAAATTCGGCATCGGAGGAGGGCGGACAACGGATAAATTCGGCATCGGGAGGGCGGACAACGGATAAATTCGGCATCGGAGGAGGGGAGGACAACGGATAAATTCGGCATCGGAGGAGGGCGGACAACGTATAAATTCGGCATCGGAGGGGGCGGACAATCGGCATCGGAGGAGGGCGGACAACGGATAAATTCGGCATCGGAGGAGGGCGGACAACGGATAAATTCGGCATCGGAGGAGGGCGGACAACGGATAAATTCGGCATCGGAGGAGGACAACGGATAAATTCGGCATCGGAGGAGGGCGGACAACGGATAAATTCGGCATCGGAGGAGGGCGGACGGTACGGATTCAATCGGAGGAACAACGTATAAATTCGGCATCGGAGGAGGGCGGACAACGTATAAATTCGGCATCGGAGGAGGGCGGACAATGTATAAATTCGGCATCGGAGGAGGGCGGACAATGGATAAATTCGGCATCGGAGGAGGGCGGACAACGGATAAATTCGGCATCGGAGGAGGGCGGACAACGGATAAATTCGGCATCGGGGGGCGGACAACGTATAAATTCGGCATCGGAGGAGGGCGGACAACGTATAAATTCGGCATCGGAGGACCAATGGGAGGAGGGCGGACAACGTATAAATTCGGCATCGGAGGAGGGCGGACAACGGAATTCGGCATCGGAGGAGGGCGGACATCGGATCGGAGGGCGGACAACGGATAAATTCGGCATCGGAGGAGGGCGGACAACGGAAATTCGGCATCGGAGGAGGGCGGACAACATGGCATCGGAGGGAGGCGGACAATGGATAAATTCGGCATCGGAGGAGGGCGGACAACGGGCATCGGAGAAGGGCGGACAATGGATAAATTCGGCATCGGAGGAGGGCGGACAACGGATAAATTCGGCATCGGAGGAGGGGACAACGGATAAATTCAATCGGATAACATTCGGCATCGGAGGAGGCGGACAACGGGCATCGGGGAGGGCGGACAACGGCATCGGAAATTCGGCATCGGAGGAGGACAACGGACAACGGATAAATTCGGCATCGGAGGAGGGCGGACAACGGATAAATTCGGCATCGGAGGAGGCGGACAACGGATAAATTCGGCATCGGAGGAGGGCGGACAACGGATAAATTCGGCATCGGAGGAGGCGGACAATGGATAAATTCGGCATCGGAGGAGGCGGACAATGGATAAATTCGGCATCGGAGGAGGGCGGACAATGGATAAATTCGGCATCGGAGGAGGGCGGACAACGTATAAATTCGGCATCGGAGGAGGGCGGACAAGGAGGGCGGATAAATTCGGCATCGGAGGAGGGCGGACAACGGATAAATTCGGCATCATCGGATAAATTCGGCATCGGAGGAGGGCGGACAATGGATAAATTCGGCATCGGAGGAGGGCGGACAACGGATAAATTCGGCATCGGAGGAGGGCGGACAATGGATAAATTTGGCATCGGAGGAGGGCGGACAACAGGACAAATTCGACGACATGGATAAATTCGGCATCGGAGGAGGGCGGACAACGGATAAATTCGGCATCGGAGGAGGGGCGGACAACGTATAAATTCGGCATCGGAGGAGGGCGGACAATGGATAAATTCGGCATCGGAGGAGGGCGGACAACGTATAAATTCCGGCATCGGAGGAGGGCGGACAATGGATAAATTCGGCATCGGAGGAGGGATAAATTCGGACAAGGCGGATAAATTCGGCATCGGAGGAGGGCGGACAACGGATAAATTCGGCATCGGAGGAGGGCGGACAACAGATAAATTCGGCATCGGAGGAGGGCGGACAATGGATAAATTCGGCATCGGAGGAGGGCGGACAACGGATAAATTCGGCATCGGAGGAGGGCGGACAACGTATAAATTCGGCATCGGAGGAGGGCGGACAACGGATAAATTCGGCATCGGAGGAGGGCGGACAACGGATGAATATAAATTCGGCATCGGAGGAGGGCGGACAATGGATAAATTCGGCATCCGAGGAGGGCGGACAACGGATAAATTCGGCATCGGAGGAGGGCGGACAACGTATAAATTCGGCATCGGAGGAGGGCGGATCAACGGACAATGGATAAATTCGGCATCGGAGGAGGGCGGACATAAATTCGGCATCGGAGGAATTCGGCATCGGAGGAGGGCGGACAACGGATAAATTCGGCATCGGAGGAGGGCGGACAACGGATAAATTCGGCATCGGAGGAGGGCGGACAATGGATAAATTCGGCATCGGAGGGGCGGACAACGTATAAAATTCGGCATCGGACAACGTATAAATTCGGCATCGGAGGAGGGCGGACAATGGCATCGGAAATAAATTCGGCATCGGAGGAGGGCGGACAACGGATAAATTCGGCATCGGAGGAGGGCGGACAACGGCATAAAAATTCGGCATCGGAGGAGGGCGGACAATGGATAAATTCGGCATCGGAGGAGGGCGGACAACGGATAAATTCGGCATCGGAGGAGGGCGGACAATGGATAAATTCGGCATCGGAGGAGGGCGGACAACGGATAAATTCGGCATCGGAGGGCGGAGGGCGGACAAGGAGGGCGGATAAATTCGGCATCGGAGGAGGGCGGACAATGGATACAATTCGGCATCGATAGGAGGGCGGACAACGTATAAATTCGGCGGATCGGATTCGGCATCGGAGGGCGGACAACGGATAAATTCGGCATCGGAGGAGGGCGGACAACGGATAAATTCGGCATCGGAGGAGGGATGGACAACGGATAAATTCGGCAGGAGGGGGCGGACAACGGATAAATTCGGCATCGGAGGAGGCGGACGGATAAATTCGGCATATCGGAGGAGGGCGGACAATGGATAAATTCGGCATCGGAGGAGGGCGGACAACGGATAAATTCGGAGGATCGGAGGACGGCGGACAAAGGATAAATTCGGCATCGGAGGAGGGCGGACAACGGATAAATTCGGCATCGGAGGAGGCGGACAATGGATAAATTCGGCATCGGAGGAGGGCGGACAACGGACAATATAAATTCGGCATCGGAGGAGGGCGGACAACGGATAAATTCGGCATCGGAGGAGGGCGGACAACGGATAAATTCGGCATCGGAGGAGGGCATGAGAGGGCAGACAACGGATAAATTCGACAAGGAGGGCGGATAAATTCGGCATCGGAGGAGGGCGGACAACGGATAAATTCGGCATCGGAGGGCGGACAACGGACAAATTCGGCATCGGAGGAGGGCGGACAATGGATAAATTCGGCATCAGGCGGGCGGACAACGTATAAATTCGGCATCGGAGGAGGGCGGACAACGTATAAATTCGGCATCGGAGGAGGGCGGACAACGGATAAATTCGGCATCGGAGGAGGGCGGACAACGGATAAATTCGGCATCGGAGGAGGGCGGACAACGGATAAATTCGGCATCGGAGGAGGGCGGACAACGTATAAATTCGGCATCGGAGGAGGGCGGACAATGGATAAATTCGGCATCGGAGGAGGGCGGACAACGTATAAATTCGGCATCGGTGGAGGGCGGACAACGTATAAATTCGGCATCGGAGGAGGGCGGACAATGGATAAATTCGGAGGCAACGGACAACGTATAAATTCGGCATCGGAGGAGGGCGGACAACGGATAAATTCGGCATCGGAGGAGGGCGGACAACGTATAAATTCGGCATCGGAGGAGGGCGGACAACGTATAAATTCGGCATCGGAGGAGGGCGGACAACGGATAAATTCGGCATCGGAGGAGGGCGGACAACGGATAAATTCGGCATCGGAGGAGGGCGGACAACGGATAAATTCGGCATCGGAGGAGGGCGGACAACGTATAAATTCGGCATCGGAGGAGGGCGACAACGTATAAATTCGGCATCGGAGGAGGGCGGACAACGGATAAAATTCGGCGGACAACGTATAAATTCGGCATCGGAGGAGGGCGGACAACGTATAAATTCGGCATCGGAGGAGGGCGGACAACGGATAAATTCGGCATCGGAGGAGGGCGGACAATGGATAAATTCGGCATCGAGAGGGCGGACAACGTATAAATTCGGCATCGGAGGAGGGGCGGACAACGTATAAATTCGGCATCGGAGGAGGGCGGACAACGGATAAATTCGGCATCGGAGGAGGGCGGACAACGGATAAATTCGGCATCGGAGGAGGGCGGACAACGTATAAATTCGGCATCGGAGGAGGCGGACAACGGATAAATTCGACATCGGGAGGAGGGCGGACAACGGATAAATTCGGCATCGGAGGAGGGCGGACAACGTATAAATTCGGCATCGGAGGAGGGCGGACAATATAAATTCGGCATCGAGGAGGAGCGGATATAAATTCGGCATCGGAGGGCGGACAACGGATAAATTCGGCATCGGAGGAGGGCGGACAATGGATAAATTCGGCATCGGAGGAGGGCGGACAATGGATAAATTCGGCATCGGAGGAGGGCGGACAACGTATAAATTCGGCATCGGAGGAGGGCGGACAACGGATAAATTCGGCATCGGAGGAGGGCGGACAATGGATAAATTCGGCATCGGAGGAGGGCGGACAACGGATAAATTCGGCATCGGCATCGGAGAAGGGCGGACAACGTATAAATTCGGCATCGGAGGAGGGCGGACAACGGTAAATTCGGCATCGGAGGAGGGCGGACAACGTATAAATTCGGCATCGGAGGAGGCGGACAACGGATAAATTCGGCATCGGAGGAGGGCGGACAACGGATAAATTCGGCATCGGAGGAGGGCGGACAACGTATAAATTCGGCATCGGAGGAGGGCGGACATCATATAAATTCGGCATCGGAGGAGGGCGGACAACGGATAAATTCGGCATCGGAGGAGGGCGGACAACGAATAAATTCGGCATCGGAGAGGGCGGACAACGGGGCATCGGAGGAGGGCGGACAACGGCATAAATTCGCATCGGAGGAGGGCGGACAACGGATAAATTCGGCATCGAAGGAGGGCGGACAACGGATAAATTCGGACAACGTATAAATTCGGAGGAGGCGGACAACGTATAAATTCGGCATCGGAGGAGGGCGGACAACGTATAAATTCGGCATCGGAGGAGGGCGGACAACGATAAATTCGGCATCGGAGGAGGCGGACAACGGATAAATTCGGCATCGGAGGAGGGCGGACAACGGATAAATTCGGCATCGGAGGAGGGACAACGGATCAACGGATAAATAAATTCGGCATCGGAGGAGGGCGGACAAACGGATAAATTCGGCATCGGCAGGAGGCAGGCGGACAACGTATAAATTCGGCATCGGAGGAATTCGACAACGCATCGGAGGAGGGCGGACAACGGATAAATTCGGCATCGGAGGAGGGCGGACAACGGATAAATTCGGCATCGGAGGAGGGCGGACAACGGATAAATTCGGCATCGGAGGAGGGCGGACAACGTATAAATTCGGCATCGGAGGAGGGCGGACAATGGATAAATTCGGCATCGGGAGGGCGGACAACGGATAAATTCGATCAATGGATAAATTCGGCATCGGAGGAGGGCGGACAACGGATAAATTCGGCATCGGAGGAGGGCGGACAATGGATAAATTCGGCATCGGAGGAGGGCGGACAACGGATAAATTCGGCATCGGAGGAGGGCGGACAACGGATAAATTCGGCATCGGAGGAGGGCGGACAACCTATAAAACGTATAAATTCGGCATCGGAGGAGGGCGGACAACGGATAAATTCGGCATCGGAGGAGGGCGGACAACGGGCATCGGAGGAGGGCGGACAATGGATAAATTCGGCATCGGAGGAGGGGCGGACAACGTATAAATTCGGCATCGGAGGAGGGCGGACAACGGACATCGGAGGAGGGCGGACAATGGATAAATTCGGCATCGGAGGAGGGCGGACAACGGATAAATTCGGCATCGGAGGAGGGCGGACAACGTATAAATTCGGCATCGGAGGAGGGCGGACAACGGATAAATTCGGCATCGGAGGAGGGCGGACAACGTATAAATTCGGCATCGGAGGAGGGCGGACAATGGATAAATTCGGCATCGGAGGAGGGCGGACAATCGGCATCGGAGGAGGGCGGACAACGGCATAAATTCGGCATCGGAGGAGGCGGACAACGGATAAATTCGGCATCGAAGGAGGGCGGACAACGGATAAATTCGGCATCGGAGAGTGCGGACAACGTATAAATTCGGCATCGGAGGCGGGCGGACAACGTATAAATTTGGCATCGGAGGAGGGCGGACAACGTATAAATTCGGCATCGGAGGAGGGCGGACAACGTATAAATTCGGCATCGGAGGAGAGCGGACAACGTATAAATTCGGCATCGGAGGAGGGCGGACAACGGATAAATTCGGCATCGGAAGGGCGGACAACGTATAAATTCGGCATCGGAGGAGGGCGGACAATGGATAAATTCGGCATCGGAGGAGGGCGAACAACGTATAAATTCGGCATCGGAGAAGGGCGGACAACGGATAAATTCGGCATCGGAGGAGGGCGGACAACGGATAAATTCGGCATCGGAGGGCGGACAACGGATAAATTCGGCATCGGAGGAGGCGGACAACGGATAAATTCGGCATCGGAGGAGGGGCGGACAACGTATAAATTCGGCATCGGAGGAGGGCGGACAACGTATAAATTCGGCATCGGAGGGGCGGACAACGGGCGGACAACGACATAAATTCGGCATCGAAGGAGGAGGGCGGACAACGTATAAATTCGGCATCGAAGGAGGGCGGACAACGTATAAATTCGGCATCGGAGTATAAATTCGGCATCGGAGGAGGGACAACGGATAAATTCGGCATCGGAGGAGGGCGGACAATGGATAAATTCGGCATCGGAGGAGGGCGGACAACGTATAAATTCGGCATCGGAGGAGGGCGGACAACGGATAAATTCGGCATCGGAGGAGGACGGACAATGGATAAATTCGACATCGGAGGAGGGCGGACAACGGATAAATTCGACATCGAAGGAGGGCGGACAACGTATAAATTCGGTATCGGAGGAGGGCGGACAACGTATAAATTCGGCATCGGAGGAGGGCGGACAACGTATAAATTCGGCATCGAAGGAGGGCGGACAACGTATAAATTCGGCATCGGAGGAGGGCGGACAACGTATAAATTCGGCATCGGAGGGCGGACAACGCGGACAACGGACAACATAAATTCGGCATCGGAGGAGGGCGGACAACGATAAATTCGGCATCGGAGGAGGCGGACAACGGATACAATTCGGCAATTCGGCATCGGAGGAGGGCGGACAATGGATAAATTCGGCGTCGGAGGAGGGCGGACAACGGATAAATTCGGCATCGGAGGAGGGCGGGCAACGGATAAATTCGTAAGAGCTTTAGAATGGAACTTCATTAATTTTTAGGTACATTTGGATTTCCATTCGAGTAAGCGACAAACATCAACATGTCTTCTCTTTGTCGATACGTTTACTGCATGCTGCTGGGTTTGAGATTAATTTCTTAAACGTACGGTTGACTCTTTTAAGATTTTTTAGCAATGAACGCTGTTCCTTCATGAAGCATTTTAATCATTCCCACCAAAAAAAAAATGCATTTTCTGCTCAAGATGCATATAATTTGGAACTTTAGAAAAGAAAAATAGAAACAGAATGGTTGCCAGTCACTTATAACTGCTCAAAACCACTTAACATAGCACACCGCTGCGTGTTTTAGGGCTTCCAAACATTTACTTTTAATTCTTGAAAACACATGCAGTCAACCGGGGGTAATTTAAGAAATGGGATTTGTATATAATGTCGGAATGCACTGCAGATGCACTTCGCGTATGCACACACACACACATACACACACACACACACACACACACACACACATATATATATATATATATATATATATATATATATGTAAGACGAGAACAAATAGAAATATAGACGGATTACGAATAGATTACAATTCCAACGTTCGTAACATTTAATTTAAAAGAGGACTCAATACAAAGTAGAACAATAATATTTATTTTAGGATCGGAAATATGTCAAAAACGCTACACAAATGACAACTGGTTAGCGTTTTTTTTTTACATGTTTTCGATGTAATATCCTAAAATAAAGTGTATTTATAAATATATATATATATATATATTTATATATATATATATATATATATATATATATATATATATATATATATATATATGCCTGAAACTATATAAATTCAGGTTTACAGAGCTGTTGTCCTTGCCATCCGTTTGTACGGCTCAGAGTTGTGGACTCCATACAGGTACCATATACGCCAGCTGGATGTTTTCCATAAAAGCTGTATGTTTGCAATCTGTGGAGTTAACCTTCAAGATAGGACATCTAAAGTTTTACAGGTGTAATATTGGAGGAATCGAGGTCATGTCTTGAGAATGTCTGATGACAGGATAGCCAAGATCCTAATGTACAGCCAGTTAGATCAGGGCTACAGGAATGTCGGACGCTCATGGCTAAGATACAAAGACAAGCTGAAAAGGAACTTGTCAGCTGTCAATATACCACATAACACTGTTGAGCGCTTAACCTTGGAGCGGGTAGAATGGAGATCAACATGTTTTAGTGGACTCGGCATTTTTCAAGCGAGAGCAAGATAAAAAGGTCAGCCAATCTAACAATGATCTCATCTTACTATCCTCACTCTTGCTCCATATGTGGCCTCCTTTGTAAATCACTAGCGGGTCTTAAGTGCCACTTAAGATTATCGCACAAGATTTCATAACTGAATCAATTGTCAGATCCTCATACGTCAAAACCGACGGGAGAGTCCATTATATATATATATATATATATATATATATATATATATATATATATATATATATGATACCATTGATATGCGCCGGAAAAAGATTTATATGGTAGACATGCGCAGGTAATTGGCCATTCTGCAAACATTTTCCCCAAATAAATAAATAAACGTCATACCCAGTTTTGTTTCGTACCCAGATAGTCTGTCCGTGTGTTATAATACACTATGGTATAGATATATATATATGTGTGTGTGTGTGTGTGTGTGTATGTGTGTGCGTGTGTGTGCAAGGCGACCGGCAGGTTACTGCGATTAAGCTTTCTATTAAATTTTTCTTACAACAAAAGCTCACCTCCAAGATCCAATTTACAGAGAACCAATATTATTCATGAATTGATATGCGCCTTAAGGAACTGAACACATGAATAATTATATTGGACATACAACTACATCGCTATCAAGAAGACTCACATTACATCTCTCTGAGCATAGCTGAATCAGGATTCATTTAAAGACAAACTCTATCCGCAACATACTTGTAGAAATACAAGTACAATAGCTTCATCTACATGAAAAAAAAGACTAAAAATAATAGAAGCACTAATAATAAAAAAGAAAACAAAACAAATACTCAATAGCCTCAACTATGAACACGGCCTCAATGTGCTGACCGTGTTTAGAGAATAACAAAAAACATATATATAAAATAAAAAAGGCTCAAACACTAATATTCCATGTTTATAATTTATTACATTGGAATCGTAATCACGATCCAATTCATCAGATCTACAAATTTGTAGATTCTACCTGGATTCTATTCTATCCTCTTGAGAATTTATTTACACACACACACACACACAGATATATATATATATATATATATATTGACCATTAATATTATATATATATATATTATATACGTATATATATATATGTATATTGACCACTAATATTATATATATATATATATATGTGTGTGTGTGTGTGTGTGTGTGTGTATTTGGGCAGCAGTCCGTAAATATATATGTATATGCTTTGTTTCTCTGTTTTCTTGAACATCAGTGAAAGACTTTCATGGTAAATGTTAGAATGAACATCGTCTAATGTTACTCTTGTAATATTGCAATGATTCTCTTCAACTGAAGAAATGACATTAAAAAATGTTGATATTCTTTAACCGTTTCTATTTTAAGGTCTTCCAATGGCTTTATTTCACCGCCAGTAGAATTTTGATCTGTTAACCTCGAGGAGCTCAACCTCGTCTACCTACGGTTCAAACATACATTGGCGCACATGACGTCTCATCTGGGTTGAGACAACCATAAATGGAGCGAAACATTCTCTCATGTGGGTTTCATTGCAGCCGGAGCATGCTGTGTACAGCTACTAATGTGACCCCAACATGATAAAATGTTCCATCACTAACGGAGGACAGCAGTAATGAGCGAATGCCCATCTGCTGTCCTCCGTTGGTGTTGAAACATTCTCTCATGTGGGGTTTCATTAAGAGCGGTACACAGCATGTTCCAGCTGCGATGAAGGGACTGAGGGAGTATCGTCTCCCACGTGGAGGCCTGAAGAGACCTCGAGAAGAGCCCCGGATATGGTTCTCCAAATTATCCCGTTGTAACATTCTACTAGACCGTCCCAACGTGCATTATAAATATTTTAACGACTCTTAAAAACACCTTCCGTGTTAATAAACGTGGTAAGTTCTTTAGAAAGAAATAACTGGATTGTCAGTGGGTATGTGGGTATTCCAAATAAATAGGAAATACTTGGCAAATAGTCAATAACTGTTTGACAAGCTGAAGTCCTCGCAGGGAAATACAAACGGAAAATCTGCTAAATTCATCGACTACGGTTATCATATACCGATTTTTATTATTTGTTAGTAAGAGGGGGCTTTAAAGTCAATGTTAAGTCTCTCAAAGCTTAGCATTTATTACATGACTTTCATCCTTGAAATAAAATCGGGGTTTTATTTCAGAGCACGCAGGACAGGTTTTTATCATTCTTTTTATGTCTTCCATTGAATAATGAAGATTCTTTTTACTTTGTACAAAATGGTCCATACGTGTTATTCCAGGTGACACAAGGAATGACGAATCTCTAATTTGTTCAGATTAGTGACTGGGCAAAATGTTATCTAGATAATATATCAGCAGCATAGTTTTGCTTCGCTGAACAATAAATGGCATCATAAGAATAGCAAGAAATTTTGAGTCGTCATCTTACAATCTTTTCATTTTTTTTATTTATTTTTCCTGCTTTTCTTCCGTCAAACATAAATGATACAGATTTTTGATTTGTTATTTGTTGAAAATGCTTTCCCAGCAAATAATGTCGCCACTTACGCAAAGATTATGATAGCGTACGCCTCTTTTTCAACAGATGAATGTTTACATTCAGTTACTGTTAATGTCCTAGAAAAAAAAAGGCTATGGGTCTGCCATTTTGTCTGAGCGTTGCAGCGACGGCCTTATTCTGAGGAATAAGTTTCAACAACAAAAGCTATATTATTATCAATTGTAAAGGCCACAGCATTTACGAGGTCTTGTTTAATATTTTAAAAGCATTAACAGCGGATTGTTCTAGTGTAAATTTTCAAATTATTAATAGTGAATGTATTTTCTGTGAAAATTTGTATACCCACTTAGAGTAATGGGAGAACAAACAGATTGCTCGACGTAAGAAAGCTTTGCTAGTTGGAACAGGTAAGTTTAGTAGGGGCTGCAAACGTAACTGGATCAGGTTTTATCGTACCACTTGAAATGGTGTAGCTTAAAAGGTTAATAGAATTTTGACAGAAATATACTTCTATCCTGATTGAAAGTTAATTTAAAGTGTTTGGCAACTTCCATAAGTTTTCGTCGTGCTCACATGTTCGGCCACATATAGTTATATTGTTAATGTAAGCACAAGTGTCTTTAATGTTGTTATCCCTAATTATTTGATGAATAACCCTTTGAAAAGCCGCAACTCCCATTTGCAACCTCGAAAGGGACCGGGCAGAACTGATAAAGTCTTCCATTTGCTTCAAAGGTTTATCTTATTCTTTTATCCGGATTTGGTGGTTGACTCTGCGCAGATCAACCGGACTAAACACTCGGTACTCGGATATATTTTCTATTAAATCATTGATGTTAGATAAGTATCTAGCATATAAATCTATTAATAGTCGACCATTAAGCGTTTGTGATTCTAACAAATTCTTGTGTTTTCCACGGAGATAAACTCGGTTCCACAATCCGTTCGGCTAACATCCGTTTTACTTCAGAGTTAATAATTTAGTATCGGCTTGAGATACGCTCCTTGATTTGATAGCTATACGCTTACAATTGGGAGAGAGATTCTCGCAAAGTGCGGTATAGGGAGCCTTCGTTGTAGTCAAACCACATACAGAGGTGGTCTAGTTCCACCAAAATGAATTTTCACTTTAGAATGTAGGCTCAAAGTCATGTCTGATTATTACATCAGCGAATAAGTTATCAGGAATAATTAGTTGTACTTTCTTATCTGTGGGATCGCCAATGATAATATTTGCTATGTAGCGTGCTGCTACTTTAGACTGTAAATTGATGGCTGCCATAGAGATAACTTTGTTAGAGTGTAGAGGTTTTCACCTATAGCTTTTCACGAGTGAATGACTTACAAAACTCTGGGATCTGCCAGTATCGGGTAGTGCATTCACTGCTTTGCTATTTATTCCAGCCGGTAGAACAGTTTGACAAATTAAGGAGATTTACTTGAATCCCACATTGAGTCAGGTTGTGACACAGGGTCAGTTTTTAAGGTGGGGACCTGAGTATTTTCACTCAGGCCGCTAGTCCAAGCTGTTCTTAGCTGGTCATAGCTTGTCCAAGCTGGTCAAAGCTGGTCTAAGCTAGTCATAGCTGGTTCAAGCTGGTCAGAGCCGGTCCAAGCTAGTCGTAGCCGTGATACCACCAGTACAAGGACGGATTCCTGGGCCAAGTATGTATCCGAATGTGTATACCCCTCAAGAGAAGAATTTACACATTCCAAATTGAAAAATTAAGGAGTATGGCTGCCAATGAATTGCCGGTAGTTGCTGAAGAGGTAGAAACAGAAGGCTTGGGTTTAGACCTACAGACTTTCGCATAGAGTTCGACCTTACTGCAGGATTTGCATATAGCTTCCCTGGCCGGGAACTGTGTTTTTCGAACCCACAGAAGAAACACTTAGCCCTTAAAGCAGCCGCGATGATTTGATCAGAAGAGGTACAGTTAGTAAGAATTAGGAGGTAGCTGCATTAACGGTTTAGTCGAACTTTGTATAAGTGTCAGACTCCTTTTTGGATACCACCAAGAACGTGACTGTTGAAATATTGTCTCCAAATCCAAGGTTTTGTTCACCTAGAGACATTGGCGAATGTAGCTGGAATATATCCCGTTAATAAAGACGTCTCTAATGTGTTCGTTTTTGTACTCCTCGGCACTTTGAGACCGAATATTGTAGTCCTGAGTCTTAGCTTTTCGATGTATTAATCCAGGTTTTCATTTGGATCTTGCTTGTAGTTGGACAGCAAATGCCGCACAATTACCTCGTTCTTAGGCTTAACATAGAGCTTTCTGAGCTTTTTTCGACAGTGGTATTGTAAGAGGTTGATTCTTTAACATGTTTATAAAATCACCGGGGACAGAAGTTTAATAAGTACATGCTTATGGGTCGATAGTGGCAATAATGTTACTGAAAGCTTTAAACCAATGGTGCCATGAGTCTGAAGCGTCACTTGCATTAGGGCCCACCTTGAGACGACAGGGTTTCAGATAGCTTTCCATAGTTTATGCTGTATAAATTGTTGTGAGCTAAAAAGAAAGCGTTTAGCTTTATTCAACATAGAACGTTGCTAGCTTGTTACTATTTATTCTGGAACATACAGAATTGTGGCACAAGCGCGGAGTAGAAAGAAAAGAAAGAAAAGGGAGGGGCTGGTCTACGCTAACTTTGCTAGTCCTAGTTAATCCGATTCGCAAGCCGTTCATTCATTACAATTTGCTCATTCACCAAAAGAAATTGTCCATCACCTTTCAACCTGCATATACCAAAATACCACATATTCACGGTATTTACTTGACCCCCACACTGAGTCAGGTTATGACACAAGGTCGGTTTTTTAACGTGGAGACCCAAGTGTTTTCACTCGGGCCACTGGTCTTAGCTGGTCATAGCTTGTCCAAGCTGGTCAGAGCCGGTCCAAGCTAGTCATAGCTGTGATACTAGCAGCGCAGGGGCGGATTCCTGTGACCGGTAAGTGAGATTTATTGACATCCCACTGAGTCAGGTTGTGACACAAGGTCAGTTTTTAACGTGTAGAGCCGAGTGTTTTCACTCGGGCCGCTAGTCCAAGCTGGTCTTAGCTGACCATAGCTTGTCCAAGCTGTTCAGAGCTGGTCTAAGCTAGTCTAAGCTAGTCATAGCTGGTCTTGGCTGGTCCAAGCCGGTCCAAGCCAGTAGTAGCCGTGATAACACCAGCACAGGGACAGACTCCTGTGGCAGGTAAGTATCCGAATGTGCATACCCCTCAAGTGAGTAATTTACACAAATACCACACATTCACAGGGGACATAGAAAACACTCCATGAGATAAAATCTGATGAGAGTCCAAAATGTCTTCTATTTTTTTTTTTTTTTGATGTTTTTTTTTTACAAAAGTATATAAAAGTTTTATGATTCATGAAGTGATGGGAGGGGATGAAACCCCAAAACAAAGTAAAAATGTAACACAAAGATAAAATCAAAAGAAATGTTAATGGGACCCTTCCACCCGTCAAAATAATAAGAGAGCTTGCTGTATTCTGCAACGTTACTAGGATGTTAACTCTTCTACGCTAAAGACTACGTCTTTTATAGGTTGTGTTAAGCGTAATAGCAGTAAGCGGAAGTGGCGGTGAGAGTAGAATAGTAATAACTATGAAAACAAAAGCTGTAGATTGTCCGGAAGAATTCTAGAAAAAGTATTTTAGAATTTCAGAACTCTAATTAATATAGAGAATTTAGAAAATATATCAACTGAAATGTTACATTCAAATGAATAAGAATGAAACAGTAATTTCACAACAACTGCACCGACAAGCTACTTTCGCTGGTTCCCAGACTGCAGGAATTTAAGCGTGCTACTAGTTTGGCATCTCGGTCTCACCCTTTCACTGTCGAAACAGTTAAATGTAACCGCCTCTTCTACTCCAACAGCTTCTTCTTTCGTACTTTCCGTCCGTGGAACTCCCTTCCACTTACTTGCTGCCCTAATAACTATAATCTTCAAAAATTTAAATGCAATGTCAATTGACATTTTCCGATGCCTTGATCTCCGTCCTTCTCTTTATCCTTTCCCCAAACACTCCTCTTTACACTTACTCTCGCTCTCTGTAACCCGTTGCCTGCTGGTGGCACTCCCATCTTTCTTGGGTTGAAATTCTTTAAAAAAAAAAAAAAAAAAAGATAATCCGAAAATTATAGATATCATCTTGGAACTTCAGACGATACAGGAAGACCGAAGAATATATCTACAATAAAACAATCAAAATGAAGATACTAAGAAATGTCTGGAATAAGCAAAGTGAATTCGTTCCTTGCCAAAAAAAAAAAATAAATAAATAACACGTGATGTAAATATGTATATATTACTAAGACAACATATATTTTTTTAATTACAGTTTTAGCTATCATTAAGGGAAGCGATATTCTTGCTTGAATAACTTTGGCCTGGTTTAGAATCAAATACTTCCTTCCGTTAAGAACATGTGGAATTCTTAAGGAATGACTCTCGGATTGGGAGCTTAAGAATCAAAAACAATTTCTTCAAAGTAACCTGTAAAGAAAAATCAGTTCGTTAAAGCATAATCAATGATTGAATAATTTTACTTTAGAAATTTGTTGAAAATCATAAAAATAGAATTATCAGTCGTCAGGAATTCACTACCAGAATAGCACACAGAGAAACACACACCCACCCACCGTGGCCACCTGTGTTTTATATTTTCAACTATGCTGAGCGGATGTTGGTTAAAGTTTCTGGGCGAGAGCGCATAACTTGTGACGCTCAGCAGTACGCTCGATGCCTCGGTCACGATGACTGGTGACTTCGTTCTTGCGCAATCATCGATAGCTTCCAAAGAGTTACTTTTACCCAATTTCACTCACAAGGATTGGATCAACCTATCGTATGATTTCCAGATACTTTGCCAAGGGTGTCATAGACCGGAATCGCTACCCACAAACCGAAAACATCAAGAAGTCATCTTCCTGACAAATCGACCCTGGTAAGATTCGAACTCGAGTCTCATGGTCAGAAACCACACAGCCACGCGCACCGTATATATATATATATATATATATATATATATATATATATATATATATATTGAATTTTTTCTATAAAAGATATATCATTTTCAATTATTTTAAATAAAAATGCCAACTACGTCGTATACCTCAGGTAATATATATATATATATATATATATATATATATATATATATATATTTCACTCACAATTAACGCAAATATTGAAACGGCTCATAATCAGATATAATAAACATTCATTGTCTGTTATAGTTAACAATAGATGTTTAAATATATATATTATGTTAATAACTATACTCGATTGGTTTAAAAAATCCCGGATTACACAATTTTCTGGCTCAATAGGATATATATATATATATATATATATATATATATATATATATATATATATAATAGTGCATATATACAGCAATCCTTCTTTTATACAGGTTTCGTTAAAAACGACAGCCAACATGAAAAGTAACTGTATTTCATCGTTAGTTGTCTTTTACGAAACTATAAAAAAAAGTATTCAATGCATCGGTCTGTTCTTCTATTTTACACATAGCTGGAGGGAGAGTAAGAGGATTCATACTTTTCCCTAGGGTATTAGCACGTAAGTGAATGTAATGGATTCGACTGGAATATATATATATATATATATATATATATATATATATATATATATATATATATATTATCAATACAACATGATAATATTATAATTTATGAATATGTCCTGAAGATGGTTTATTAGACCGAAACGTCCGACGTTGACATATTAAGATTAAAACAGCTTAATTGTATATAAGGATTTTTGTTTG